CATTATCCAGCTGATATGAGACTCCAAACCCCCAAAAGAACTCGGACCTTCGCTTTGTTTTGCCAGAGCTGCTCATGAGCTGGGCTCTTCCTGCTTTGCTGTGCAGGAGGGAAGTGCAGACACCCTGTCTGTGGCAGCCTGGGCTTCTCTGGAACCTTCTGACAGGGCATGGAACATGGAAACAGTGTGTGGGCACAGCCCCCTGCTCTGGGGGCTCTGCTGCTGGCACTGCTGGTGTGTTTGTTGCCAGCACACTTTTCTCTGTGAAAAGGCAGAAGATGGGATGTTGTCATGCCGGGGTTGGCTTTTTGCTGGATTTGAAACACTTCCAAGCTTGTTGTAAAGCTGACCTTTAGCAAGCTTTTATTTTTTTTTTAAACTTTAATGGTTTTCAAACTCAAATTTGCAAGTGAGTTCCCCACGTTCTATTTTTGGTGTGCTTTATTTCCTTTCTGGGGGTGAAGTGCTACACATGCTCTACTCTTTCTCTGTGCAGCTGAAGTGAGTGTTGCTGTAGCTGCTCTGAGTTTCTGTGCAGCATCACTGTCCACTAACAAACCCCAGGAACTGGGCAGGGCTCTCTGCAGGTGCTGGGAAGGCACAGGGGTTTAACCTGCACTCCCTGAGTTCAGAATCTCTTCGTTTGGAGCCCACTTTTCTTACACAGCACATTTTGTAAAGGCTTTATGTGCTGCTTAAGGGGCTCAGTCTCCCCTTTTGGGCCTAAATCGACCTTTTCTGAAGATTTAGAACTGTTGGGATGGTAGACAAGGTGCTGTACGTGATGGGTGTGCTGAGAGAGAAGGAATTGCCCCTGCAGTCCTATCAGGGAGAGGAATCTGGAGTGGTTCCCTTTAATCCTGCTGTTGTCTGTGGATACATGAGCAAACATGTGACTCCCATCCACAGAGTCCTAAGGACCTTCAGAAGAAATGAAAGCTCACATAGTTCCTGATTTCTAGCAAAGGGATTTGTGAATTCTGTCCATTTACTAACTCTTCTCTCAAGGCAAGCAAAACAGCTGTTAAAGTAATTTCTTTTGCAAAAATACATTTTATTTTCTGAACCTAGAAAGCACCGCAGTTGAACCTGTTGTGAAAGCCTCTTTGTGTTACCTGTGTAATCCCAGAGCTCTGCCTGGTTCCCCCCAGGTGTAAGTCCTGGATGGCATTGTGCTGGTGTGCTCATAATGATCAGCTCTTTCTCACCCTGCAGAGATCTATCGCATTGTCTCCCAGAAGCAAATGTCCGACAGACGTGAGAATGATATGTCTCCAAGCAACAACGTGGTTCCCATCCACGTCCCCCCCACCACTGAAAACAAACCAAAGATGCAGTGCTGTCAGAATATATAAATTGTCCATTCTTTCCTAAAAGGCTGTGTATATTCCCCAGGTCCAAGATTTAAATATATTTGTAATTCTCGTGGTTCCATTCTTGTGTTTAGTCACTGCTTATTCCTTCTGAATTTCTCCATGTCTTAAAACACTTTGATTTCAGTGTTTATCAGTCTCTTTCTTGGATGTGGCTGCAGTATTTTCCCAACGCCGACTTGTCGGTTTGGGGTCAGTAAATTGTTTGGAACTCAACTGATCTCTTCCCAACACGATGCCCATTAGTCAGAGCACAGGAACCTTTAGTGAGCACTTGAATTCGTTGTTCTGCTCCTCACAAAGCAATTACTGTCAGGTAAACGAGGAAAGTATCTCTGGGCAGGATAATCTTTCCTTGTCTGAAAGTGTTGCATCTGCACCTAAAGCTTGGCCAAGCGCCCGTTGCTCTGAAGTGCAATTTTAATGTAAGTTAAATGTTTTTGGCTGCTTCTTCAGGTTGTCAAGTGAAGTTTTGTAGAGTATTATGGGGGAGAAAAGAGAATTTTTCGAGAACAAGCAGCAGGTTCTGGCAACCTGTGACTGAGGTGCTGTGGTTTGGCACCTGCTGCAGAGGAGGTTGATGTGAGGCAGAGCTGCTGGGGCTGCACTGAGGGGCCCTTTGTGAGGGAGCTGCATCCCTGGGGAAGGGTCACTCCAACCCTGGAGCTTGCAGCCTGTTTTTGTGCTGCCTGAGGCTTGGCCCCCACAGTGCTGGTGGTATCAGGATTTGAGGATGCCTTTTTTTTTTTTCATGGGACACAGACTTGAAGGGTGTTGTCACATATTACATATCACACCTGTTAATGCATGCCACTTGTATTAATATATTCGAATGCTTGAGTTGATGAATCAACAACTTCAACTACCTAGCCTTAGTTTTCAGTTCTGTTTGATCCAGTATTTTTAAATTATTCCAGTGGTTTGCTGTCTGCTCTTGAACAAAACCATCTGGAGTAGTTTTCCTGCTGTCTGTCGCTCCCTACAAACCCTCAGTCGGATTCGCTTGTTCAGGGATACATGAACTGTGCCTTCTGTCACTGCACATCCCTCTCTGCTATTCCTAAACATGCCAACCCTGGCACTGGGGCCACGGGCACTGCATTCCTACACTATTTAGAGGAACTGTTTGTTGTGTAAATGCCTGCAGTTATTTATACAATTACAGGGAAGTAATGGATTGTGGGGGATGTTTCTCAAACTCTGATACGACCTGTGTGGAACATCCAAAATCTGGTTGGCACTTCCAGCTGTGCTCCATCCCAACCCTCCTGTCTCGCGGTGCTCATGACGTGTGAGGCACACGGAAGGCATTGCTGTAGTCGGTCACTTCTTGTTTTTTTACTCCATTTCTCCTCCTGGTATTAGTTCTGGAGATGCTCCTTTGATCTGTTTGTAAATTACTTTGTATTTTATGCATGTACTGTACTTTGATTCATTATTTTTTTAGATTGATTTAAAATATATTCATCCATGATTCTAATAAAGAATTACAGGGGACGACTCACTGTGGTGTTGGGTGCACTTTTTGGGAGGACTGGGATTTGACATGAAGGTTTTTACTTACTGGAAGCTGATGAGCTTCTTGGAGCAGGCAGTGAGAAGACACTAAAGTGGAAGTGCCCCTGGAAAAGGACCTGGAAGGGTCGTGTAACACAGTTGTCTTCCCTCAGAGCAGGTCTGCAGCTTTCTGGGGCTGCTGCAGTTCAGAGCCAGGGCAGTTTGGCAGCTCCAGGGAGCTTTTACACTCAGGAATTCTGTGGGTTCACTCTAGTCAAACCTCTGAATAGCTTTTACAAACCTGGGGTTTTTTCCCACGTTGCCATGAGAAAGAAAATCCTGTGGGATACAAACGGCTCCTTCTGCAGGAAAGGATGAAAGCTTGGGATCCCGCTGGGGTGTCCTGGTGAAGTGGTGCCAGGAGCACCCACGGAGCACGTGGGGCAGTGCCAGTGGCTCTGGAGACTGAGGCAGTTTGGGACTGAGGATGAGGAGTGAGCCTGGTCCTGGATTACTGTGGGAGCTGTTCTTGCAGCACCTTCTCTGCCCAGACTGGAGCATATTTTGGAATTAACTGATTCCCTGCAGCAGCCAAGCTCTAAATTTGTCATCTGGAAATGCAGGATAAGTTTCACTCCACTTCCTTTTCTCATTCCTGTAAGCAGGTGACTGGACTCAGCTGTCACATCAGGTCCGGATTTCGTGTGGTTTTAGGCAAAACTCTTCCTCCTGCAGCAGCTGGAATTGCAGCACAGCCAGTGGGAGCAGAAACCCCTGTGGGAGGCTGAGACTTCTAAAGCAAAATCCAGTGGTGTATGTACAGAGAAGGAACCTCCTACCTGGGAAAGCCTTTGCCTCCTGTTCCCGGGGTCTGTGCTGTGCTTCCCTGGGCTGTGGCAGCAGCTCCTGCCTGGCCTGGGCTGGGTGACACTCCAGGGGCAGGAAGGTGCTTCCCAAAATGCTTTGGGAGAGACAATGCAAGACATTATTCCATCTGAATGCTGACCCAAGGGGGGACTGTTCCTGTTTGGCTGCTGATTAATCATTCTGCTCCATAATTGGCATTACTTGTGTACTGAAGTGTCTCTTCCTTGCTAATGGGAGACAACTGATGGCAGCAGACACTGCTTTGGGCCCTGAAAGGAGCTTGCTGAGATTCTGAGAACTCCATTTAATGCTGCAAAATGGGCTTTCTTGCCAAAAGTTTTTGCTGTCATTTACATATTTGAAAGTCCCAACTTTATCACTTATGAAGCTGTTCATGAGCATCAGTGGCTCCTGTGTTTGATGGGAGTTGAGGTTCTGACTCTTAAGCAGAAAGGACATGTAATTGTTGTGATTAAAAGACATTTTTATTAAGCTGGAATTACTTATTCCATCAGTTCAACCTGATGAATTTCCAGCCTTAAATAGCTTACTGAGTGTGTCTTGTCAAATAAGAAGATTACACACTGGGCTTTAGTTAACAAGATTTTCAGAAGTGTGAGGCACAAATGCTGGAAAGCTCCAGCAGTCGCAGTGCTGTGTTGCCCGGGAGTCATTCCCTCTGAAGGTGTTTCTGCTGCAGGTCTGTGCTCCTGATTCATTGACTGGGCTCCCTGGGAGCTGCTGAGGCAGCTTCCATGTGTCCTGTGTGCCATTCCTGCTGGGTGACTGTGCTGGGCTGGATCCTCCAGGATCTTCATTCCCCCTGAAGGGCCAGGAAGCTGCGAGTGGCCCAGGGCACTGTGCCCACCCCGCTGAGGTGCAGGACGTGAACATCAGTGAGTGGTGCTGGCACTGACCCCACATTGCTCTGGGGGGTGTGGGGGGCTTGTCCAGCTGGGATTGGGCATCCCCAGGGCTCTCACTCAGACCCACTGAGGACAAACTGCTGAGGAACTGGGAGAAAGGTGTAAAGAGCCACTTACCTTCTGGTTTGACACTGGGCCTTACTCCAGGTTAATCTGGAGTTACAGCACTGGCCTCTCTGAGCCATCCTGCCTTTTCTGTCCTGTGCCTGGTGCCCGTGGGGGTTTTTGGCTGAGGGGGGGCAGCCCCTTCGTGAGCAGCCCCATCACCTGGAGAACTCGGACCTGTGCAGGGCCTGAAAGTTTTGCTCTGCAAATGAGTACGTTTGAGAACTACACGGTGAGAGAAATTCAATTTATTTTGTACAAGGTAGGATACCTTTGTACAGTGAACAAATATATTACAAATCTGTCTTGCCTTAAAAAAGTATTGCCATTTTGGTGCCTGTTTCCTAAGCTGACGCTAATATACAAGAAGGTACCTTTTTTTGTTGGTTTTGCTTGTTTTTTTTCCTTTTAAGCTCTATGCGTCATTGCATTTGGTTTCAAAATCCTGCTTTGAAAAAAAACCAAGAAACAACACAACAACTGAGCACATCTCTGCTCTCTGGAGTCTCATTGCAAACTACAGCAACACACAAACATGGGTCAGGCTGGCAGCTGGGGCTGCTTGTGCTGGGTGTCAAGGTAGGGCTCCACAAGAGTATTCCTTATCCAACTGCCTTTCTCTTGATATTTTTGAGGTAAGTCTTTCCGTTCATGTACATAAAATATGTTCCTACTGGCCCTACAAAATAACTTACATCTCAAATAAGGCTTTCCTGGAAAACAAAACTGCTACTGCTGCTTGGTCAGGGCCCCCATGCACACATGCAGCATTCAGGGAATCGTGTGGGAATGATCCTGGGACATGGACATCGGCTGCTCCGGGAGCCTGGGGGGGTCTCTGGGCTCAGGTTGGGGGGTTCAGAGCCAGCCTGACCACCTGGTGGGTCCTGGCTCCGAGGGACAGGGCTCCCAGGGCAGGATTCCCAAGGACAGGGCTCCCAGGGACAGGATTCCCAAGGACAGGGCTCCCAGGGCAGGATTCCCAAGGACAGGGCTCCCAGGGCAGGATTCCCAAGGACAGGGCTCCCAGGGGTGTCCTGCCAGGGGCTTCAATCCCAGGCTGAGCCCATCTGTGGGGACAGGATGGGCCCCTCCATGGTGCTCCAAGTGATCCTGGTCTGACACAGAGCCAGGATCCAGCCACTTTCTCCCAGCTGGAGGGCTCCTCTTTCCAGTCCCAAGCCCAGCAGCTCACCCAAGGGATCGTGTTGAGCAAACTGATGGATCTGGTTCCGTTCTCTTCTGCTTCCACCAGGCTGGCGAATGTGCAACAGAATATTTCTTTATATTTAAGAGGCATCAACTTGCTACTTCCACGTTTGCCTAATAAAATTACATACTTAGAGTCAATACTACTTCATGCTCAAAATCTACAAGGAACTAACGGCAAGTACTCTACTTTCTAGGTCAATAAAGATTATAAATTAAAAAAAAATAATTGTGGTGGCGCAATGCAAAACTTTACCATGGGTCAGCCCCGTGATAATTAGTTCACAAACAGCTGCTGAAAAAGAAAACCCAGTTTCAGCTCCATTTAATGACATTTCAGGTAGAATCACCAAAGGATAACGTTGCACTACATGGTAATGCCCATCAAATTAAAGGGTGTCATCAGTGGCATGCTGACAAGTGAACCACGAGGAGATGGTTTGAAAAGATGGGAGAGAGAAGCTGCTGTGGCTCAGCTTTGGGAAAGGAAATGAAACCAGGGCTGGTCTGTGCAGACCTGCACTGTCCCAGGGCAGGAAAGGGAGGTGCAGCAGGTTACAGGCCTGACAGATCTGCTGGATTTAGCCAACAAAACAGAAGCTGTATAAGGAAAATTAAAGCCCATCTGTGCCAATCAGAAGCGTGGTAAAGTGGGGGGGGGGGTTCATTGTGGAAATGGTCATTAGCAAAGATCAGGGGACATTTGGAAAGATTTAAAAAACGGCACAGAAAGTGTCTGTGTTAATATTCCTCAACTCAAACCCTCTGGTACTGAGTGTAGAGATGAAAATCCCAATGCTAATTACCGAGCGTGATCTGCACAGGCTGCACATGGTGGTGGCAGTAAATGAGGTGTCCTGACAGTGAAATGACAAGTTTCCCTGCTCTCATTCAGAAAAATGTCCATTCCCATGACAAAGATGAAAATCAATTCCAGTGCATTCCCAGTCACCTTGTTCCTAAAGGTAAAAGGTTTCTTGATGCAGTTGGTAAAAATGTACATCTTTAAGTCCTTCTACTTAGCATGTGTTTGTGGTTTATTTTACAGCAAAGCCAGGGTTAGAATACAAGCCACGGAGAGTTTTTGCCTGGAGCACGTGGACACCTTCCTGGGGTGATGTACTCCAGCCACACGTGGAGGAGGTTCTGTTAGTTCCAGTTACCCATATAAAAATGTCTTTATAAATAACATCATGCAGCAGCAGTTGGCCCAAGCTGATGTTGTGTCACGTCAGGTCCTTGCGTAAGCCAGTCCACATCCGTCAGCATCCCACAGCGTGGAAAAGGAATGGCTTCTCCTCTGCTTCCTCACAGTTTGTGTTGGCAGCACAGTGGAGTCCATCCCTTTAAGACTGCTTGTCCCAAGAGGGCCCGTGTGTCGGGCTGTGCCGGACGGGGAGGAGGTCGTAGTGACCAGGAATGTGGCTGTTCCTGGGAAGGTCGTATGGATTCTGGAGGTAACTGGCACTCCGGCTGCGGCCGTCTTGGACTATGCTGACAGTGGGCTCTGGGGGAGCAAGGAAAACTGGGTTATGGCAACCAGCAGCACTCTCAAAACCAGTTACTGTCCTCGTGTGTTTTGTCCAAGCACAGGATGTCGGCCTCCCAAACCATCTCATCCCCCTCCAGCTTCACGGGCAGCACAGGAGGCAGCACGTGGGGCAGAGCAGGGAGAAAAGCACCAAACAGGAGCCAGGGAACGGCTGGAGCTGTGCCAGGGCAGGGTTAGGCTGGATATCAGGAAAAGGTTCTTCTCCCAGAGGGTGGCGGGGCACTGAACAGGCTCCCCAGGGCAGTGGGCACAGCCCCAAGGCTGCCAGAGCTCCAGGAGGGTTTGGACAACACTCTCAGGGACATGGGGGGATTGTTGGGGTGTCAGTGCAGGGCCAGGAGTTGGACTTGATGATCCCTGTGAGTCCCTTTCAACTCAGGATACCACCTGCACAGCTCTTAGCTCCCCAAATCAACACACCAGTGCTCAGGCCTTCCCCCCACTGCCAGTGTCTCCTTGCCCTGTGCCAAGTCCAGGTTACTTGTGTCAGGAAAGCAGAAAACCAGCCTCTGCACTGAACCCCCCAGCTGCTGGAGCAGCCCTCGTGCCACCCACTGCTTACCAACTTCATAGATGTTTTTATTGGCTGTGGATGAAGTTGGCATTTCGGAATATGGGGACTCCCTGTGACCAGGCGATTTCATTTCCACGTAGCTGCTCTCGGAGTGTTTGCAGGTTAAAATGGGGGGGTCTTTAATGGTGGCGTAGGGGTTTTCACTGCTGTTCAGGGAACAAGTGCTGGAGCTGCACACAGACTCTTTCATATAATCTGCAAAACAAGAGCGGGGTGGGAGCGTGAGGGTCGTTAGCTTAACTCAGTTAATTACAGCTGAGCCTCTGCAGGAAGGCTGGGGGTGACAAGGGGACAGGGGGTAAGGAGGATCCTCGACGCATCCAGCACAGACACCCGGCGCTTGTGCTCTGGGTGTTCCAGACCATTGCATCCACAACTCACTGGCAGGAAAGAAATGAAAACCTGCTCAGTACCGAAGGTTTTGCTGTAAAAGGTTCTAGCTGTCATTTACTGCAAGGTTTAATTTGAGGTGGCAATGCCTTCCCTCCCTCCCCTAATTCCTAAGGAGCCGTGTTTAACCCCGCCCGGGACCACGAGTCGGTTCTGCAGGCAGGACCTTCTGCTGGGACTGGGGCTGCTGGGCCAGCTGCAGGGTGAGTGTCCCGGGGCTTCGGGCACATCCAAGGCCCTGTGTTGGAATGCACAGCTTTGCCACAGGCTCAGAACTGCACCAGTGCAGCCTTTGCATGTGTGGCCCCCTGAGAGTTTGGGGTTATCCAGCATCCTACAGCTGGAACACTTGGGTTTCCACAGGGGGGGACAATACTCTGTCTGAGCCTCACTTTTGCTCTGCTTTACCCCCCCATTGCTGCAAACACCTCCTGCTCCTCTCCCCTGGAGAGAAGGAGACGGTGACGGAGGTGCTACGTGGGGGGAACAAGGTTGGCGTGAGAGCTGTGACCACCGGCCGGTGACCCTGGCTGGGCTGTGCCAGCCTGCTGCAAGGTACAGTGCCAGTCTTGCTTCAAAAAATAAAAAACAATAGAGAATAAATAAGTCTTAACATTGACAGTCAAGAACGTGCCATTGCTGCCGTGTGCATCCTGCTGGGCAGTGCCAGTAATTTAGAATTAGAGCGATGCAATGAAAGATGAGGCATTTTCTTGTGCTGGGTTACAGTACAAAGGCAGATCCTGGTATATATGAAATACTCCCGGTGAAATAGTGGGACTTGCAAAATAGCTGCAATCCCAGCTGCCCCCGCTGTCTAGTATGGGAGACAAAAAGAGAAATTCAGGTTAAGAAATGACAGACAACACGACATCGCTCCTCCCTTACAAACCTTGTCTCCGAGCCCCATCCTGCTCCCTCTCTCGCCAGGTTTGCTCCACTGGGTGTGATTCTCCCTCCACCAGCTCTGGGGTTGTGTCTGTCTGTGTCTGTGTGTCCATCACCCCCTGGGCCTGGTGCCCCTCGCCTCGGTTCAGCCCTGAGCAAGGTGCCAGGTCGTGCCTGCCACCTGCACGAGGGGTTGCCTTTCTGGGCTCCAGTTCCAGGGACACGGGCAAGTCTGGAGAGCCCTGAGCTCTCAGGGTCAGTGAAACCAGCTCCACCACAAACAAACCAGCAGGACGTGCTGGGACCATCAGGGCTGGGAGGCTGGCAGAGGCCCTGGCACCACTGCAATGTTTATTTACTTATAAAACTAAGAACCTCCTTGTCTGACTTCAGCCTGGGTGAGATTAGCAGTGCCTTTGCTTCCAAGTGAAACACGCCTGGTTTGGTACATCACAGCACGTGGGAACCAAGGAACACCGAAATTCCCTGGCTGTTGGACACAGGGTTTGGCCCTCCAGCTTCACCAACCCCTTCCCAGTACAAGTCAGGGGAAAAATGCCCCATCCCATCCCATCCTTCTACAGGACGATGGAGCGACCCTGGGAGACCAAAGGCTCCTGCACATGAGTGAGCTCAGCATTGTTGGCCTTTGTTCTGTGTGTGTGACTCAAATTCAGGTGCCAGAGTCTGGGATCTGTTGGTGTGAGAGACAAGGAGACCATGGACAAGGACTAACAAATGAATTAATCCATTAATCAAAATCTTTGGATTGAAAAGACCTGTTTGGGCTGGGCCCCAGCCTTCAGTCAGTGGGAGGGTTGTGCATGAGTGAACTCTCTCACGTGGACAAGGAGCCAGAGTGGGAGCACTCACTGCTTCAGGGACACGGCTGGATGAGGAGACACTCATTCCTGAGGTTTTTATTCCATTCTCAGCCAAAGAAAGGCTCAGCTCTCCCTGGCAGCAAGTTACAGCTCCTGGTGGGTACTACAGGTCTGTCGTGCTTGTTAGGAGAGCCTGGGCAGCCTTCAACGAGCCAGCTCTACATTTTGGGGCAAGACAGGGACATTATGACAAACTTCCTTCTCTGTCTCAAGCTGTGCTGCTACTTTTTGGGGCAAACATTCATGGGGCAAAAGGCAGGATCCTCCCTGTGCCCTGAGTGTCCACTACAAAGCATTCCCTGTCGGCACCACGGCTGGGAGGGAACAAATCAAACCAGAGCTGGGCTTAGAATAATAAAATGTCAATTATAAAGGACTGGAGGCTACTACAGCAAAAAAAGGCCGAGTGAGAAATGCTGCTCCTGCAGAGCTGTGTTGGGTCAGTGCTGGTTTGTTCATGGAATTGGGCACATTGGAGCTGGCACAGGTAAAAATCCCAGCACATCAGCTATTTTATCAAGTCCAGCTCAGCTGCTTTTACTTTCCTAAGCTAAAATTCACCTGCCCTGCTGCCAGGGCTGACACTGCCTGCCAGGCAGGTGTCCCTCAGCACCAGCCCTGCCCTTCCCAGGACCGTACTGGGAGACTCCCATCAAACACCACCGAGGCTGCCCAGACTCGTTTGGCCTCTCCCAGGAACTGCCTTTCCCCAGAAGAGATTGGGAAACAACATGCCCAGGAGCAGATTCCCTCTGACGTAAACGGGAGCTCTGTGTCCACCCCGGGATCAGACCTTCGCTCTGGATACAATAAATATATTTTATGGAGCACCAGCCCATGTTTGGGAATGTGCTGCACACCAGGGAGCCATCAGCCCACCAGAAACACTGTGTGCAGGATCATGGAGAATTTAAGGGATGGAGAAGCAGCTGAGTTACTTTGTTATTAAGGTAATTTGGGGATAATTAAGAAGTCTGGCATCGATTGTCAGATTTCATTTCATGAATTAATTTAACCAGAACAAGGGTGTTTAGAAATTCTCAGCCCGTGGTGCTGCAGGCCCTGTGTGAGCTCTGCCCATGCTGCCTCCTCATCCTCCCCTCTACCCACAGGGAGCTCTCATGGAGGTGGAAGCTCAGCTCGACCCGTGGCACTCACTGGGACTCACTGGAAGCACTGGATCAGCTGGACTTCCAGAGAAATATGGGGAATATGCTCTAATTTTGCATTCCCTGCCTTCTATGTTGCCTGGATACCAATCACCAGACCTTAGGAGGGTTTATTTTTGTTAGCAGGGACTAGAAATGTCCCTCCCACAGACTGGGTTCCTCTCTTTTGCCCTGAATTTCCCCTGGCATCCTAATGACAAGCCTTGGAACCTACTGCCCCACTGGAAGTGCTAAGGAAAGGTGCTGCACACAGGTAGAACGTGCTGTTCCTGCTATTTAATCCCCCTTAGGGATGCCATGCCTTGCTGGCTGTTGTCCCTGTCCTGCCCAACTCTGGCTGCTGCAGGGACAGTAGCACAGCAAGGGCTCAGTTCTGCTGTTCAGAGTGACACAGGAGTGGGGACACATCCTGTACAAACCCCAGATGAACCAGGCTGAACCCTGAGATTAGTGCTTCCAGCTCTAGGGATTTTCCTGGCTGTTGTGCAAAGAGTAGGGCTTTTTTCCTTAAAATATTACTGCCTGAGGCCATATTATTCCACCAGTGCATCAGCACTCATTTAAAAAAAATACTTCTAAAAAATACAAAAGGACTCAGCTGCAAGGAAAAGCTTGGAAATGGTGTCACTGAGCACCACGCACAGGAAAGAAGCTGCTCTGGAAATCTTGTGACCCCTGTCACCAGGTGCCACCACTGTGGCACCCAGCCCTTCCCTGCCCGAAGGGTTCCTGCTGCTGTCAGACACTGGGAGCGACCCTGGCAAACCCAAACCTCTGTGCCTGACCCCCTGCACCTCCACTGGCAGCATTCCTTGTGTCAGGCTGCACAGGGAACACCCCTCTCCTGGTGTCCTGCTCTGGGACAGCCCCCAGCCAGCCCCGAGGGGAACGGGCTCTGGTCTCAGAGGAGGAGAACTGGGGAAGGGGGTGGTGGAGCAGGACCACCACAGCCTGACCTCAGCCCCAGGCCCCTGTGCCCCTCCCAGGCTCTGAGCCGGTCCAGGAGCACCAAACATCACTTTCAGCTGCAGGAGAAGCTTTCCCCAGCTGGACCACACAGGTGGGAAAGGACCAGGTTTTTAAAGTGGATGAAAGCAGATAAAAACCAAGCCCCCGCCCACCAAACCTTTCTGCTGACACAATCCAACTGGTTGGGACTGGGAGTTTCTCCATCTTTCAGAGGAATTTGGTGAGTCAGGGCTAACTCTGCACCTGGCAGGGCAGGAAGAGCTGCAAGCTGAGCATGGGGCACATTCCCAGCTCCTTTTGGAAGGAATTCCCCTGGGACTGGGGGTGCCCACGCTGCCCCAGAGCCCCGGGGCTGCCTAGGTCCAGGAACTGACCTTCAGACGGGACTGTGGGAACCTTCAGCCAGCCACAGGCAGCTGCTTCTGAGAACCCTCAGCTGCCAACTGCCTGCAGGTAAGCTCCCCAAAATCCCTGGGAAGCCAGGTGTGTCCCTGTGTCCCAGCACTCTGCCCCTGCCAGCGCCAGCCGTGCCTGTCTGAGGCAGCTGAGCAGCACAAAGAACTCCCCAGCTGCCCTGACATGGCTTCTGGGCCTGATTTTTCCATTTATAAGGAGATAAACATGTAAAAGAAATGGTTCAGATCCTAAATAATAAGCAAAATACGTAGGAACAGAAAATACATTTCATAGTTCCCTGTCACTGGGATTCTTTTCCTCTGTTCCCACTGGTTCCCCTCTGTGTGATTGTGCCTATGGATGGGAGCTCCTGCTGCATGTGTTGCAAGCAGCTTTTAAACCTTGTAAACACAGTAATTTACTTTAAACTAATTAAATTAATAGTTCCATGTAAAGAGAACAACTAGCTATAAGTAATAAGATTTTTCTTCTGAAAAAGAGAATCACTGAAGGAGCTGAAACCAGTGGATTGAGTATATTGTATAAAATATATATCATATATGTACATAACCCTTTTAATATTTTAATTCCAGCTTTCTTAAGAAAGACTGGGTCATGGATTGTTGGTTTCCTTTGGTGTTTCTGTGCAGTAAGGTGAATTTTTAGCAAATATTGCACCACTGTATTTTGAAAAGAGCAGCTACAAAGTGATTATTGACCTCTAAGCCTGGCTACAGGCTGATCATTGCTTTGTGTGAGGAACAGCTTTGGATATTCCTTGTTAGTTCAGATAAAGGTGTGGCTCTGGAGCACCTCAGGCCTGGCAGAGCAGTGGGGGTCTGGAACCCAGCTCTGTGTGAGGGCACCACTGCCCCCATGACTCAGCCAAAAGCAGCTCCAGGACATTACTGTGGTATTGCCCTCCTTGGCTGATGGAGGGACATTCCCAGGCATGTACAGACACAACAGCCTTGGATTCACATCAAGGACCTCAGCCTGAATCCTGCCTATTCCCAGGACACAGATTCCTTGCTCCACCTTCTGGAGCACAAGTTCCACGTGCTAAATCCCAGCCCGACCTGCCAGGAGCTTGTGCCAAGTGCTCCCGTGGTCGAGGCATAACTGGAATGTTTTGAATGTAAACCTGGAGGACAAGTGAAATGTAAAACCACTGGGCCCTGTGCTCAGGACTCATCCCTGATCCCTTTTTAGACCTGCCCTGGAGTCAGTGCCCATAACTTCTCCTGCCATGTGAGGGGTCAATGACCTCAGGGAGGGCTGTTCTCCAGCTCTGCTCCAAATCCCTCTCAGCAAAGGGCACGAGGCAGGGGCAGCTTGTTTTCCAGGGGCTTTGCTTAAGCTCAGGATGGCCAAGAGCAGGGAAGCACCCCAGGCTGTCCTCAGCAGCTGCCACCAGATCCTCGTGGGTGGCCAGTGGGTCCTACAGGAGTGTCCCCTGCCCAGCCAGCTCCACCTGCCCCTCCTGCCCTGCAGCTGAGCCCTCCCTTTAGCCTTGTGCTGCTGTGCCAGGCAGGAGCCTGTGGCCCTGGGAAGCCTGAATCCATAATTCATGGCCCCAGGAGTGCTGCCAGCAGGCAGCTTGTGTGGGTCATGGCTCTGTCCCTCCCTGTCTCTCCCGGCCTCTCTCCCAGGGGCTCCTATCTCACCTCTTCTAGGACACCCTCCTCACACCTGGCAGGGTTCTGCAGCACTGGATACCATACCTTTGAAGCTTTTTTCCATTATGTATGTGTTCTGACGTCTATCCATCCCACAAGCACCTGCATAAAAATGATATATAATGGAAAACAAATAAATATTTATGTAAATTGGATTGCTTTGACTACTGAGCAGCATATATTCTTCCCTCTGAACTGTACATCAGGGCCCTCATTTAGGGAGGCTCTTAAGCACATCCTCAGCCCTGAGCACACACTCAGCTTCAGTGGGGAGTCTGTGCACGCCTGGAATTCTGCATGTGCTTAAGAGCTTCCCTGAAGGGAGGGCTTTCCTGTAGCAGGGTTACCAAGAACAGCCATCCATCAGGAGATCAGGAAAAAATCATCTGCTGGTACATTCATTACTGAAACACTGGCTTGGATTAGTGAAAGAAGCCTGAAACGTGTCCTTTCCAACCTGAGTCTGCAGGTTGTGTTGCATCACTCTGTGACTAATTTTAGGCTTTGTTTTGTTCGTGGATAGCGGGTTATTTGACTCAGCCTTAGATCTGAGGTGTTTACAATCTGCTTGAATTACCTACTATGACTTTGCTCATAAATTTGCACGGTTCAATAACTGATGTGACAACAGTCCCGAAGTGCCCACTGTGGTCTGACACTGCAGAGAGCTGACAGCAACACTTGTGCCTCCATAGGAACTTGCTGTTCCTCATGGAAGCAGAGACAGAAGGGGATGGGAACCTCTTTCATTTCCACTATTGCAGATTACCCTCGATATCAATCAAAAGGCAAATCTAATGTAAGCCTTTAAATCTCTTTAACTATAGAGTCTGGTATTTCTTATTGACTAGGAAAATCAATACAAATTTGGTTACTGAGAAATGTCTTCGTGTCTTATGGGATTCCCAGTCAAGTAACTCAGTTAGGCTGGGAAAAGAGCCCTGCAAACAGTGTGTCCCAGAGGCTTCCCAGCTATTTGTCCTTGAGTGTCCTCTGGTCTCTGCAGAAAAGTTGTCACAGCCATGGGCAGTGCTGTACCAGTGCCTTTATCAGCACACCTTTGGTTTTTTTGCTAAATAAGGAAAATGACTGAATTAGACAATAAATGTGTGAGTGGCACATCAAAGACAAGCCAACCCCTCTGCTCTGGCTCTCAGAGCTCAGCCCTGAGCACAGGAACAGGGCTGGTGGTGCATGACCACCGTGCTCCCTGTGATGGGGCCCTTCCCCTTCTGGCCAAGAGTGACCCCCCAATCCATTGGAGCACCTTCTGCTTTGTTTTCCACCTCTGATCCTGAGCCAATTCCTGATGCAGAGGGCAAGGCTGACTGGGAGGTGTGGGAAGCTCTGTCACACAGCAGGATTAGCTCAGTGCTGGTTTTCTCTCCTGCCAGGGCAGAGTCCCAGGCGAGGAGGATGGAGCTAATTCATCCTTTGGCTGCCATCCAAGAGGACTGGGCTCCCTTTCCCAGCAGTGGAGCTCCCCAAGGCCATCCCTGGTGATCACACGGCCTCCTGCCAGGGCTGAGCAAATCTCCAAGGGCAGGAACACCAAGCAGTGTTTGGGCAGCTTCACATGGTGCCTCCAGCAAGGAGAACTCACACCAGGCTGGGGTGGGAGCAGCTGGAGAGCTCCCAACAGGTCACAGCGGGAAGGGGCTGTGGCAGGGAAGCAAAGGGGACCCAGGCTGACCCACGGGAGGGCTCTTGGGAGCCCTACATGACCATTCCCAACCTATTCCCTGTAATTCTGCCTTTAGTTTTCTCTTTTCTCTCTTATGATACTGTGGGTTTATGACCCGTTTTTGTGTATTCGCGGTGCTCCTCAGGAGGTGAAATGAATGATGGACACATTATTCTTTAACCTGCAGAAGTCATTAATGTGGAAAAGTCCTAAACAGGCCAGGATTGTGGCATTTTATGAAAGTCCAGGTTTAACTTTGAAGCTAAATTATCTGCTGGGTGAAATCAGGGTCTCAGCTGGAAATACTTTTCCACACCTCTTGGCTTTGAGAAAAATGCAGAGTCAACTGTGAATCAAACTTAGTGGCTTTGGTCCTTTGGAACAAATTCAGCTTCGAGTCCCTCACGATGGGCTGCAAATCACATTTTAGTCTCTGCATCAAGGACTGCTGTTAAAAAAACATTACACATAAAACTGTTTTTGCTGCAGCTCACTGTGCCCAGCACTGCAGCCAACGAGCACAACAACCCTCCCTGAACTCAGGATGTGGTTCAGGAGTTTTGACTCCCCTGGGAGAGGAACTGGAAGCTGGCTCAATGCAGACAGGACTAGAGCAAGAGAGATCAGTCAAATTCCTGTTCTGCAGCAGGAGATGGAGACCAGAGAACTTTGCAAAGCCAAGCCCCTCCTTGTAACTAGGACTGGGCTGCCTTGGGAAGGCAGTGACACAGAGGGAGGTTACAAAGCCGCCTCTTCTTGGCACCAGAGTCCCCAAACTCTGATCTCTCAAGCCCATGTCCATGGGAATTAGTCGTGCTCATCCCTAGAACAGACACGACCAGCTCTCTGACAAAGCCCCATATTTGAAGCTCACAAGCAAATGTGCCAGTAGTGAAAATACAGGCTTTGTCCCTGCATTCCCCACTTGGACAGAACATGAACCTGGCAAATAAAAGTCCTGCAAAACAGGTAGAACACCTGCAGCCTGGTGAGATCCACTGGAATTAAGAAAACTCCTTATGACTGTGGGTTTTAGAAGATGGGTGTCCGAGTTAACTTTCACATAGGTATTCTTACAATATCCTTTCCCTCAACTATAATTAATATTTAGGACACCTGCAAATTCCAACAAGCCTACAGACACCCCTGTGAGCCTGATGCTCCTCATCTGGATGGTCCCATCCTTTGGGATCACTGCCACAGTCGGAGGGGTCGCTGGCAGGGGGGTGACCAGAAGAGCTGAAGGTTTCCATCCATTCCAAATTTCTCTTCAGTGTCTCTTCCATCTCCCTTTAAGTTCTCCCCCACCTCTTGCTCACTTACACCTCTGCTCTCCAGGACATTTCAGGGTCACAGCACAGGAGCTGTGCAGTTGTCCAAGGCCATTTTAACTCTTTTTAACTGAATCCAGCCCTGCCCAATGCTTGGCTGCTCTTCCAGAGCACGAGCTGGGGCATCTGTGTCATAAACCTAAGGCTGGAAGTGGGATAAGAAGGTGCATCATGTCTTTAACTGTGGTACTTCCATGCCTGATGCACTCTGAAGGTCAAGATCCCCTCTGTGACCCCACGGGGCTTCACTAAAATATTTTGTGTTTACAACTCAACATGGAAGATTTTCACTTCTTTTCTGAAATTTGCACAGGTGGAATCTGCAGCTTTTATTGCACCAAAGTAATACCGAGAAATGAAAACATTTTACAGTTTCATATAAAAATGGCCTTGATCTGAGCAAGAACTCAACATTATGAAAGTCAGCACGAGCAGACATTAATTCTGGTACTGAAAAGGAAGAAAAAGAATCTCATTTTCATCAATTACTGTGAAAAAAAGAAAGAAAAAGGTATCCTGGATGCAAAAATGCCATGGGAAAAACTGACTGTTTTGCAGGAGGCCACTTAGCTAAAAGCTGAAGTATTTAGCACTTCTTACTCCAGAGGCATTTGGCATTGCTTCTGCCAGTAAAATAAAATGCATGAATGCAGGACAGATGTGGCACACAGGGAGCTCAGGACACAGCAAGATAAACACAAATAAAGCAAATAAGTGTGCAAAAAAAAGCAGCAAAATGGTAAAAGGAAAATTAACTTGATTTGAGGAGCATTTGGAAACCCTGACCCCCCCTGGCCCCCATGTCATGTACAGATAAGCACAACAGCAGTTCTGCAGGTTATTATACAGCAAAGCACATTAATGGTTTTAATGATGAGAAGGTTTTGCACTGAAGCTTGACAGGTTTGTGATTTTCCTGATGCAGGGAAGGCCTGATCTCTGGAGCGAGGCCTGGGGTGTGCCAGGAGCTGTGACAGGATGTGATGCCTGGTGCTGCCCTGGGCTCATTCCTGTGCCACGTGAGCTGGGAGATAGTTGACCTTAAAAATCCCATAATACCTCTTAATGCTGCACTTTCCCCCCTACAGCATATTTTCAGTAAGATATCAGTAATCCCAGCAAAGGAAAGGGCAAATGCTTTCTCTGCCACTGAGAAGCCAAACTCCAAGTGCTCAGATAGGAAAACAAATACCATCCAAAGCACTAAATCTGGGCAGGACTTGAGCTAAGAGCTGCTGAAAACCCTGTTAAAACTTAAGCCAGGGAGAATAAACTCAGGAAAGGTAATTAAACTTCACTCTTGGCTTGGCTGCACTGGCTGGTGGTTCAGAATTGCCTGAGAAGGGGGCAGGGTGTGATTTACCGGGAGATAACGGCGCATGGCACGGCCCAGCTCCCACAGAGGCTCCACACCTCCATCAACATGCCAGCATTTAGTGCTGAGCTTTATTAAGCATGAAAGAAAAGGAAAAACAAAACCAAAAAAAAAATCCCAAATCTGAATTTTTAATGTCCTCGGTCAGTCCTTAAAAAAACATTTATGGAGTAGCTGATGGCGATTTCAACCCAGCAACCTTGGGAGGGAGGCTGGAATGAATATTGACTCTGCTCTCCTAGTCTGTGGTTTGTGGTAAAGGAAACAATTCTCAATTCTCCACCTTTCACTGCTGGCAATTCTGATGGTGAAATAAAGACAACAACAATATTCATCATTATTGTTAATGCCTTTATGAAAGGCTGACTTGGGTCTGGAATTGCTCTAAAGTCTACTAAAGTGATTAAAGTGTTTAAAAATTACTGACCTAGTTCATTCAGATAGCTGTAGGGTCTCCAGTCTGCAGTGTCTCTGTCAAGGGTTTTGTTACTGAGCTGTTCAAAAAGTATGATAATGGGTTAATGCTGGAAGAAACAGACAGTTCCCACCCGAGACTCCAGCCCAAGGATGTCAGGAATAAAAATGGGAGATGACTGTTACCTTGGCCTCACATTTCAGCCCTTTATCTATATGGGTTTGACTAGCATTAGGGAAAATCACAAAGGAAAGTCACTTCACTAAGCAATGAACAAAAACATGCTGGAAAATACAGGATTTCCTTGAGTACCACGACTTGGATGCCTGTGGACATGGAGTGACATGCTGGCAGCTCCAAAATAACTGATGGAGATGGATGGATCAAACCCACCCACATCAGCATGCAAAGAGGGGCTGCTTGGAACTGAGGGGATCTGCTGAGACATCTGTGTGTTCAGTGACAAGAGATGGGATGGTGACAGAGTTCTCTCAATTCAAGGAAAATCACTTTGGCAACAGTGAAGCACAAAGCCCTGTGCAGATCTGCCAGCGAGGAGAGGAGCCCAGGGCTGCCATCCAGATGCTGCTGCTGGAAAAACACCTCTCCCAGCGTGGCAGCTGGGCCCCTCTGTGTGCCTGAGGCATGGAATGGACACATCCCACGTTGCCGTGGTGGGAATGCCTGGAAAAGGCTGCTGGTGTATTGACCACCCCTGTCAACGTGCTCTGGGTTTCTCTGCCGTCTGTCGAAGCCTCACTTGAGCAGAACGAGGGTTAAACACAACACCAAGGCAGGCACAGGGGATTTGGGGCTCTGGGGTGAGCTCACTGGAGCGTCTCTGTGGTCAGTGGAAGGGGAGGGGCTGCTGTTTGGGGGTACAAGGCTCCTCTGGCCTGGGGCACCACAGCAAAAAGGGGCTCTACCTCTACAAAGCCCCTGGTGATCTGCAAGTGACCCAGCAAGGAGGGTCTGGGAATCATTGTAGTTGCTAAAGCTGCCAAGTTTTCCACCTTCACGTTCTACCCTTGAAAGCCACACCTGATGCAATACAGCTGGTCCTGAGGAGGTGTCAATTCAAGAGCAAATCCCACTCCTGTTTCTGAAAAATTAGTTATGAATCTGTCATTGCTCTCCCGTGTCTGCTTCCACACTGGGAAACCTCCTGCCTCTGTTCAGAGGGTTCAGCTCTGCTATTTTACTGTATTTATAAGAAAATGCTTAACAAAAAGGAGGTTAAAACTGAAAGTATTCAAAATTACCACAGCATTTCATTGTTCCTGACCTCTCATTAATTTTTGCTTAGCTTTCTCAGTGGGTTTTTAGATCTGGAACAAAGAAAAACCCCACTAATGTATTGAGGTCTGTTGGGATATTAAATCCCAGCTGACACCCAGCACCTACAGCCACAGTCCAAAGGTGTTTTCACCCACCTTCACAGTCCTGTCCAACAGCCCTCAGTGCCACAGCCACCCCCCTGAGGGTGCAGCCCCATGTTGTCCCTGTGCCTGCAGTGATCCCGCTGTCCCTGGGCACCGAGGAAGCTCTGCAGGAATCTTGGAGTCCTCCAGCACTCCTGGAAATTCCTGATGTGCCACCTGAGGGAAGGGGGACATAGCCCTGTGCTCTCAGGACATGTAGTCAGGTGTGGTCGCAAACGTGGTCTCGTTGTGCCACCAGCCCAGGAGCCCATTCCAAACCCATCCAAACCTGACTGGCTGAAGGAGACTCTGCTGAGGAGCCACCAGTGCTGACCTCGCACGAGGCATTAATTCAGGGCAGTCTGTGCCCTGTGCTGAGTGGGAAGTGCAGCCAGATGATCCCCACAGTCCCCTGAGGCCCTGCAGCCCATGAATCTGTCACCAGGCAGCTCCAGTGATCGCTGTGTCCGGGGCTCCTCCGGCTCCTTCTCGTTTTTTGTCCATGTTCCCATGCAGGTAACTCGTGCCATCAGCTCATCAGGCACCTCTGCTCCAGCTGCTCTCCTCAAGGACGTGCCCAGAGCAGGGGGACAGCTGATAAAGCTGCTTGTCTGCAGCATTTCCAGAGCAATCCCTGCCCCAGAGCAGTGGCTGTGGCTGCACATTCCTGCTCCTGGCACGGGCTGTGCGTTGGCATCTCCCAGCCGATGGCACAGGAGCCATTTCTTTATCCTTGAACAGCTCCTGGTGCTTCCCCCAAACTGGGAATGGACACCCTGGCAGCAGGCACAGGTGTGGGGCAGTGGGGCAGCCAGGCAAACAGCAATGGCAAGGGCATGAGGAGCAGATCAGCTTGGAATGTGGCCACTGAAGGAGGAATCCTGGCCCAACACACCTTGGCACATCAGTTCTCAGAGCCCACGGCTTCGTCCTTCTCTTCAGACTCGCAGCCAGAACACAAATGCTGATTTCCAACCCAGCTGCACCACTTAGAGCACATTTATTAAAGTCTTGGGGTTTCTATTAAAAGCTCTGGGTTTGCAGGATTTATAAATCAGCTCACAAACCTAAAATTTGGCATGAAGAGCTACAGGCTAGAATTGATTTTTTTTAATGAAATGATTTGGGGACATTTTTAAGTTTTTCTGAATGCAGCAATTAGGAAGAAATGTGATTATAGCTGTCTCTTTGTGCTACTATCATTTCTTAACACACTATAATTTGTTAACTTTTTTTTTTTTTAAGATAGAAAATACTTCAATTTTTAGTGTGAAGCAAAATTGCTTTTCTGAAGGAAGAAATCCTTCACAATAAATTTCTCCATTAAAATCCCTAGCTGGTAATTTTAGCAATTTGGTTAAAACTACCTCACATCTGGCAACTTTTCCTTTAAGATCAACGAGACGCCAGCACGAGCAAAGCAAAGTCATTATCTGCCTGGCTGAAATAGCTGCCTAGATGACAGTGGCCACCTGATCACCCCCAGCCATTTGTCAATGCCCAGGTTTTTGAAGTCCATGGTGATTAGGCAAAGAAGCACTGGCAGGAGCTCCATCATACCTTTATCCTCCAGGAGAGCAATCAATAAGAGCTTTGCCATTAATTTCTCTGACTACTGGCTTCAGATTTCCATGGTCCAAGCCAGTGCTGCTCAGTTTTCATGCCCATCCTGGATGCTCTGCAGCCATTCTGTATTTGCAGCCTTCCTTTTTTCCTGGGCAAGTTTTAGTCAAAGGTGCTTTAATGATGCTTTCTGTGGCTGAATTCCTTTTTATGAGCTGGGTGACATCCAGTCAGACCATTTCCAGTGACCTCTGTTTTGCAGTTTCTAATTTTATGTGAAGTCTTTGGTAGAATTTAGAACTTCCTTTAATAGATGTGAAACTGCTGGCTTTAAAAATTCAGGACATCTAATAGCAATTGATTTTTATGATGTCTGTAGAAACCAGCAACACCTGGAAGGGGGTGAGGGTGGAATTATGAGCTTTGCAAAAGCTCAAGGTGAGAATCCTCCGTTTGCTTGTGACCATTGCAGCAGCCCCATGCTTTATACAGAGGAATCTTCACAAGCTTTGCAGTGTTCAGTAAAAGTGAGATATATCCCCACTTTAATGCACAACTCAAAAACTCAAATATAGAGCTGGCATTGAAGCCCTGAGAGTGGTTCTGCCAAATGCCCTCTGAGCAAAATAGGTCCTCAGCATCTGAAATCTGGTCTTCAGCTCAAGCAGTGAGAGCTCTGATGTGAAGACACAGGTGTGGAGGTGGGTGTGTATCTCTGTTTATCTGCTTTGGAAAATCTGCTGCATTAATTTTGTGGCACAATTTCACTCCAGTTCATGTCTGACACTCCTGGGTAACTCGCAGCATCACTATTATTTGCTGCTCCATGTGTCGTTAGAAAAAAAGGCCAAACTTTTGTAGGAGCAAAGGTCAAGTTTTGGCTTCACTTAAAGTGACAGTAAAATATCTCTTGACTTCAATGGTTCCAGCGTGTCACCCAAGCTGACCTGGCAAACCCACTCACACGTGGAGAGCAGTTACTTGTGCAAGGTGTCCAGCAGTGGAATGCTGGAGCCTCTGCCCCCTCCTTAACCCCACAGATGCAGATCCATTCTCCTGGACCTTGCACAGAGACAGAGCTCACCCAACAAGCTCCTGCTGGCAGCTGGAACAGGCTTCAGGGACACAGGACTGGAAGGGCTTTGATCACGGAGTCCCTGAGTCCTGCTGCCTTTTACTGCAAACACCCAGGCACATAATCCCTTAGATAGCTGATCAAGCTCCATTTTAAGAGTAATCAGATTTCTTTGTCCCATTAGTCTTCCTGGGAAGCTATTCCAAAATCTCACTGATCTGATGTTAGAAATCTAATTTCCAGCTTCGATGCATTCGTGGCCAGTTCATCCTCATTTGTTCTCGTGCCAGGGCTGTCATCCCACTTCAATAGCTCCCCTCCCTCCTCGTGTTTACCTTGCTGTATTTAGAGATGGCAATCATGCTCCCCCTCAGCATTCATTCTGCCACATAAAAGCAGCCAAGCCTTTTTTTAGTCCCTTCTCATACTCTCCCCCTTCTCCTCCCACTTGTTTTCCTCCTGCCTGTGTTCCAGTCCCTGCTCCACTGGCACAACCACCCTGCCCTGTGGGTTTTAATGCCTCCACCTGTATTTGTCTCTCAGCAACTTCAATGATTTACCTCCAGGACATGTGTAGGGTCCTGAGCAGTGGCCAAATGTCTGTCTGGCAGAGGGAAATGAGGAGATGAGACACCTTCCCTCTGGTCCTGGGAGGGATGTGGGAAGCTGGGCACTGCTCCCATCCTATGCAGACAGACCCATCTCCCAAAGTGAAGTTCTCAGTGCAGTGCTGGGCCCTTCAGCTCCTGCCCTCAGCCACCCTCACCCACCTCCTTCCCTGGGGGAGGTACCACCGTGCCCCCTGAGAACAGCAGGGAACAGCCACAGCGCTGGGCAGCTGTGCTGGGAGCCCTGGAGCCAGGGATCCTGGAGCTGGGAGAGGAGAGCAGGAAGGAAAACAGGAATAATATGTGTGGAGTTGGGTGAGAGAAGAGAACAGGAAAAGAGCTAGGAGAAAAACAAAGATAATAAAGTGGAGAGAACACTAAGGGAAGAGGAGAGAAAAGACACAGAAAGAGAGGAGAGGACAAGATGGGCTGGGGGAGCACAGGAGAGAAACCCCTCCTCAGACTGCAGCAAGGGCTGCATCTCCCGTGTCCTGCCTTGTACGTGGCCCAAGCTGTCTCTGAGGGCAGGGAGAGAGGAATGGCTCCAGTCCATCGCCCCAAGGCATGATCACCTTGGAGAGATAACACATCCAGGGCTCTGGCTCAGCACTTCAGAGATTCCTCTGCCATTTCTTTTCATTTTGCATCTGTGCTGGTTCCTTTGTGACCCCAGCTGGCACCATAAAGAAATGAATCCTCCAAGTACAACTTGTGCACATTTCTCTGCAGAAAGTGGGAATGGCACCAGGCAAACTGATTTGGAAATGAACTCGTTAAGGCAGCCAGTGGGGCTTTATGTGCTCCTTTGTCTCACTTGGCTGGAGAGCTGCAGACAGACAAAGCTTGTTTTTGGCCATCTCAGCTCTTCAGTACTGCAGAGCATTCCCATTAATAAGTGAGATGCTGGGAGAGCTAAAGGAAATATCAGGCCATATATTGATATAAACACCCTGAAAATACCAAATCCATTGGTTTTTCTTTCAGTAACTACCAGGACAAGCTGCTGACTGACTCTGGACAGCCAGTGCTGCAGCAGGGGGAGCAGCTTCCAGGCTGATCCCAATGCATCACTTGGGGTTTAAACCTTTCCAGCAGCTTAATATTTGAAGTGGTTCTGTGAGGAGATGGCACTGAAGGCTGGGAATCCAGGAGAGGTGCTGGCTTTGACCTTTTCTGAATTCATTTAAATTTCTGCAACAAGATTAGTGGCCCAGATGGACACTCATCCTAAATTTGACATTATGAGCATTTGCACTTTCAATTTGGGGAGCAAAAATGCATGGTGCAAGGGGACCATATACATCAGAAAACATATTTACACATCTGTCTAAACATTTCTCTGAGAAATCTCTGGAGCCAGCCTTTTTATTATATTTTAATGAGATTTTCTTTTAATAACCAAGAAATGACTTCCAGGAGCACATGTAGAGATATTTTTGCCTGTCTCATACAATACTGTCTTTTTGGCATTAATCTTGTTCCTATGGCTTTCCAGTGAGTAGTTACATTTGGATTAAGGTGACACAGCCTGCAAGTACCATCATTTTTAAAGCTGACAACCTTGATGAAATCAATTGCATTTCCTTTTTCTCCCTGTGCTTTGTCCCACCTTGGCTTATTAAGGCTCCAAAGGAAGAGCTGTTTTACCATTTACCACACCTAAATCTACTGCCAAAGTGGTGATTTGTCCATGAATGATCCGAGGGAATCAATAGCAACATGTGATAAGGAAAGTACTCCTGGATGTCTGAGCAATGCAGTGGGAACAGCTCTTCTGGAGAGCCAGGAGTGACAGCAGAGCTCCCAGAATGTCCCTGGGTGAGTCAGAACAGTGCTCAGAAGCACCCCAGGTGCATTCTTGCATCTATCTGCTTGTCTGTGTCAGCAGGGAATTTGTGTGTCTGCTGGCCTGGGAAACAATGGGATAGCCAAGTGAGATTAGTGACCTAATGCTTCATTGATTTACTTGTGTTCCTTTAATGGATAATTATATTTATCTGGTTATTTATCTCTTCTGAGAAACCAAAATACCTTAGAGTTGCTAAGACACCCAGCCCTGCTGACCCAGACAGGCATGTGAGTAACTCCAGTTACCATTCCCAGAGACTGGAAAGATACTGGGAGGGGAAAGCTGACCTTTCCCTGGAGTTTTAAATCAAGCTGGCAGACAGCAGGATCCAACAGACAGTGCTTGGGTTGATTTCCTTGAACTGATAAGAACATTGCTGCAGTGGGGTGGGGTAATATCTACCTTACTGGAGCTGTTTCCATCCAGATTACTGGGAAAGAAGCGTGAGGTCACACCACATGAGAGAGTGTGGTAGCTGGGATTGGAAAAGCAGTGTACACTGCCGCTACCTTGAGATACATCTGGGGAGAAAACAAGTCATCACAAAGTACTTTGGAAGCCACAACAGTCCTTAAGAAACTCAAAACACGGCAGAGACAATCTAGTTTAGAAACCTTGGTTAGAGTTCTGGGTGTTGTAAAACATCTGCAGATACAATCTATCCTGAATTGTGGTGTGAAGCTCTTGACTATCAGCATTACACATAGGAGAAAAAAGCAAGATAGTTAATTAACGCAGCATTATCTTTTTGAAGATGTTAGAAAAGCCATTCCAGCTGCTTTGCAGGTTGAGGGAGGGAATGCAAAACCTAGGAAATGCATGGGCTGCAACACAGCTGCTTCCTTAGTTTAAAACTTGTAAGAGCTACTGAGCAGAAGTAGTTATGAAAAAAAATAAACCTTTTGTTACCAAACCAGCAGTAAAGTTGGAAATCAAGGTGCTACAACCATACCAAGAAGTCCCAAACATTTTATATTTTGTATAAAGGGTTATTAAAACAGAAATCTGGAGCCCTGAAAGGCAAACCTGGGCAGTTACATTGTTATCTTCAGAGACATTTTATCTATTTCCTCGCTTTAACTTATAAACACATTTACCAAGAAAAGCATCATATTTATACTGGCAGTTCTAATGAAAACATCAATCCCAATCTGGTTCCAGCTGCATAACAAATTGATAAATATTTCAAAGTACCATCAGAAGAACGGATGGAAAATTCAAACCAAAGCAGCAGCATTTAAACAACAAAGCCCTGTAAAAAGCAAATGAATGGGTTTTAATAAACCCCAGGCTTAAACTGTAGGCAGAGAGGTCGGTTATAGGGAACACCTTCATGTGGAAAGGGTAATGAAGTGCTGGGGTGGCTGTTTGAACCCCCCCCACCTTTAGGGAAGGTTGGCAGCGGTGGGTGAGGGAGGGCACGGCCCCGGCTGGCACTGAGGGGGGTCCCAGCCACCACCACCCCTCTCCCCTTGCCCTCTGCCTTTGCCTCGCTCTGAACATGCACTTTGCTTTGCTGACATCTTGTGGAGATCTAGATTTAGCCTAATTTACTGCAGCATATCCTGTTTCAAGGAAGGGCCTCCATCTGCAGGGTGTCTCTTACGTAAGTGCTGTGGCTGAGGGGAAGCTGCTCGTGCAGGTCTGACCAAGCACTTCTTTTCTGCTGAAACGTGCACGGGGATTTTCCAGGGCAGCCCTGTTTTGTAAGAGCAGAGCCTTTGAGTCCTAGTTGTTTTCCGGGGTTATTGCTAATGAAGTAGATCAGGATGTGATTCCAGAGCTGAAGTCTTTGCATTGAACTTCTTGCAGCCAGGGCTCTGCCACCTCCCCAGCTCTAACTGTGACATTTGCAATCAAATCAACATAAAACACCTATCTCTTGGGGCCTGCCAGTGAGAACTGGGGCTGGAACCCCCCACAAACACAGACAGAGCTGCTCACACACAGCCCTGAACCTGCTCAGGGGGGCTTGGCACGAGGCAGCTCCTCACCCTCCTCACAACCTGTGCTCCCAGCTAAAGATGGACACTTGGCTCTGTGTCTGTCTGCTCTGTGGGTGAGTGTTGATGGGTGAGTCACACCAGCTCTGCCTTCCCCTTCCCTTATCACTCAGCTGAGGGCAGGGACCACCTGACACCTTACAAGTTCACCCCCAGCTTATCTGGCCATAGCGTGTTTTCTGCACCCAAAAGGAGCCGGAATAAAGCTCTCCCAGACTGCCCTACTACTCAGCACAGTGCTGAATTAATGACCCTGAGCTCATACACATCACCACAACCCTTTTATCCCCACCCTGTACTCAGAATTCCTCATTCTACACAGTTCCATTTGGTCGATACTTAAATACCCACCCAGGCTGATTTACCTTCATAGCACAGTCCATTTTCTACACATTTATTCCTGAAGCTCTTGTAACTGCTGGCTGGAAATATTCAATCAAATTCAAATCTAATGCTGTCCCTGCTTAAAAAATAAAACCAAAACAGCAAAAAACCCCACAACCCACAAAAACCCCCCCTGCTCTTCCCAAAGGGGAGAATTCTGTTCTGCTCTGAACAGGAATGAAAGACTTAAATGCCTAAAAGAAAGGAAATTATTTAAATTAAAACAAAAATAGCGCCGAGGTGCTGTTAATGTCACCATGGGGAGATCAGACCTGTGAAGGGACACATGATGGCAGAGTCCTGCTGTGAGCCCCTCAAGCCTGAGGCTGCTCCAGAGGAAGACCCGAGAGGTCTGGACGAAGGTTTATCACCTGATGGACTGAGCCCAGGCTGTGGGGTGACACAGGGAGCATCAGTCCCCACCCTGGAGCAGCTGTAGGACAGTGGTGTGAAAACTGGGCACAAAAAAAGAGACTAAGTGAGCACTGCAGTCAGTACCAACCCAGGCTTCTCAACTGCTAAATGGAGCCGCTTTCTGCTTTCTGTGTGGGTCCTCTCTGCCCACACAGTGTCACTGAGGCGGCTGAAGGCTCCAAGCAGGAGGGTTCACTCTGCCACCTCCCACCACACATCAACTGCAGATCATTTCTGGAAGTGTCTTGTCTGGGCTTCAGGATCCACGGTGCTTTATTTTTATCAGGCTTTGCTTAGCTCTTGGCTCTCAGAACAGGATTCGCCCCTCCCAGAAAGTTTGTCAAGGCCTTGGTAAGACCTTAGACATCACTTCAGCCCATACCCAAGTCTGTGTGAAAGTCCTGATAGGAAATCTCTGCTGTTCTCCAGCACTGCCACACAGTTTTCCTTTCTGTCCCCATCTCCTTGAACAAAACAACCTGCACTTCAAAATCTGTTTTCATGCTGGGGAGCACCATTTTGATTTCAGGCTTATTTGGGAAAGTCTGCTCTCAGATCCAAGTGTTGTGGATAAGCTCTCCCAGCATGCATGGTTTTCTTTTCCTCTGGCTGCTGGGCAGAGTGTGTTTTGCTGCCACATCCTTCATCCACAAATGCAAAAGGGTCCAAGGGCTGCCCAGGGGGTTTCCCTGCTTTATAATCTCTCTCACACATATGCAGGGATTATCAGCCTTGGGAGAGCTGAGGACACAAAGACCAAAAACATCCTCCAGAAACAAATTAATGTGCTGGAAGAAATTGCTGCCTCCAGGAGCTTGGGATCTGTGTGTGTGACTCTGTTCTGAAACAACACCACCATGACCCAAATGAGAGCAAACAGGCAAAATAATAACTGGTGATTGAGGAGAGCCATAATGTTACAACCCACAGGGAGCTGGAGACTGCAGCCATCCAGGTGGAATTCCTGCCAAAGTACATGAGTTTACATGGGATTATATTCATTGGACAAGTACATCTGCATATTATTCTGCCCTTAATCCACATACAGACCTCGAGGTGAGGGTTGGGATCCTTGTTTCCTCTGTGCAACACTGCTTCTGTCCTTCAGATCCTCTGCAACACACACCTGCACACTTGTACTCAGATACACAAGTGTTGTCCTGCCATCCTGATATTCCTTATCTCTGATCTTGTCTCACTATCCACCTCCCCATTTCCTGCTGAGGAAGGTGCACACCAGCACCTTTTCCTGCCTCTGCTCTGTAGAGGTGAAGCAGCACTGGCAAGGCCCAAGCTGGGATGGTAATTACTGATGGGTACAAAGTCTCTCAGTAAGAGAATGTACTGGAGGACAGTCAGAATTTGGCAGGGAGTTTTCAGAAGCCTTTGTCTAGAATTTGTAAATGCCCTTCTAAAACAAAAGCCACAACTTGAAACAATGCTGATACCTGCAGGCAATTTATAATGGGATAAAGATGGAGCAGCGTGTTTCTAACTTCCTAACCTTCCTCTGCAAGCTCAGATGGCAGAGTATTCCAAGGGGGAGAAGAAAGAAAATCATTCTTGTGACCTCCAGAAAGAGATGGTTGCCCCCACTCCACTGCAGCTTCCTGAGTGATAAAATATCTATTGCTACGAGGACTGCACGAAGAAAGGAGAGAGCAAAGACCCAGTCTCTGCATCTCCATCACTGAGATGGACAGGGAAGAACCATTATCCAATTTCTTCCTAGAAAAGCCCAGGCAACACCACTGACCTGGAGCTGTTTGGGATTGTGAGGAACTGGTACTTGAGGGTTTTCACAAACTGGGCTGACATGGAACAGCAGTGCCACAAGGGCCAGAATGTACCTCACTGTCACTGCCCCAGGACCACAAGAGATCCCAGGTTCAATGCAGCTGAAGGATGGGATCCCTCAGATGTTTATGATGTATCCAGGAATTCAGCCATCCCTAAAATATTTTTTTCTCCTCGTGGAGTTAAGTATCACGTGGCATCAGGAGCTCTGGGATAGGTGGCTGCACCTGAGAGGAACGTGAAGAACGTTTTACATGGCAAATTAAAGCCCACAAGGCCATAACCTACAAACACAGTCCTGGGCTACCAACATCTTCAAACATCATGGCTTTCTCTCTATGGCTGAGGAGGAAAGTCATCTGTCTTTGTTAACTTTCCAGGATGAGTGAATTCCTTCCCAGCATTAGCCTTTTTCCAGACTTCTTGCAGTGTCTGAGGCTGGGACACCATCAGGTCCACTGGGAAGTCTCATTTCATAGCAAAATATGGAGAAAAAAAAAAAAAGAGAGATTTTTGTTCTGAAAGGAGCTGCTCAATAATTCCACTCAGGAACTCCCAACAATATTCCTCTCCTTACTTTGAAGTGTCTGAGCTGTGTCTCTCAAACATGCTGGGTTGCACACACATTAACTAGAGAAGCACAGAGATAAATGAAGTGGAGCAGGCTTTGTACACAGATGGATAAGGTGCCAATGTGATAGAAATGGATCACTGAAAAGTTCAGGACATTTTTCCATGCCAGGGTCTCTGATCTGCTCTCTCAGAACCCAGAGCCTCCGTGCTGTGGAGATGGGTCACAGTTGTCTTTTGCATATTTGTGGTCTGGCTCCTCAAATAGTGTTGAAATGAAAAATTTCAGGCCAAGCTGTGCTGGCAATTAGTCAAGGACTAGATGAGCCCCCTCTGTCAACACTTTCATTCATTTCTCACCCAAAGGGGCAGCTTAAGCAAGAGCCAGCAAAGCTAAAATTCAAACATAAGGAGCAATGGGAAGAAATCCAGGGATGACTTTTCCCCCCATCTTGTAGCTACCAGAAGAAGGAATGCTCTACTGAGTGGTCTAAATGTGAGTTTGGTCAATGGTGTTCAACAGGCAGCCCCTGATGTGGGAGGTGCCATCACAGGAAAATGTGTCCCTGACACGAGGACTGGAGTCACAGTGCCATGAGAGAAGATGTGGGATTAACTTCCAGGTGTAGCCAGGCATTGCTACCATTGGCTCAATGGGAGAGGCTCCTTCCAGGTGCATCCTGGGCAGGGAATTCCAGAAGGAAGCTTCCAGCCATGTCACCCTTAGACAGCACAGAAGCCAATGGGCCTCGTGCACTCACAGGAGAGAGCAGAAAGAAAAAGGCACTGCAGGTCTGGGGAAGCAGAGCTGCAGGGTCAACCTCTGCCTGTCTCAGGAGCTTGCACTCAACTGGACTTACAGTTTCAGCCATTTAAAGGGAAGAGAAGTCAGAGGGCAGCAAACCCTGAGGAGATCCCCACCAGAGACAGATCAGAGCAAACCAAAAGGAAGTAAATCTGTCTCCTGCCTGGCATCCTCTCTGATATTGGCCAGAGAGGAATGAAGAAGAATGACAGTGTTAAAAAGGAGATCAGATCCTGCAAAGTTTAGCCAGTCTGCCAAGAAAAGTAGATTCTGCTACTGCTACTCCACAGCAGTAGCAGAAGACAGAAAGAAGTAGGAATGCTGTGATTCCAAAGAGCCTTCCCCTTCTTCCCTCCTGCTTTCATCAGCTCCTGGGAAGAGAATTCACACCAGCTCTTTAGATGACAGGGACAGGTCTGTGCTCAGCAGAGAGTGACAACAAACAGGACACCTTAAATCACAAACTGCAACACTGATCCAGTCAATCCCCTTCCTCCAGCAAGAAAAGGCTTCTCAAGGTTTCACTAAGGGAAAACTCCTCTGCACTGCAAAAGGAATGCAGGTGATTTAAAGCCCATGCAGCACATTTCTTGCCTGGGTACATCCTCCATTGTGCTAAGTAAACTTAAAACATATAAAGCAGCTTAAATCAGTTGATATTTGCTTTCCTGTCCCTGTTATGTGTTTACAGATCACGGTATTCAGGGGAAGAACGGAAGTGTCATTATTTTTGTGGCTCAGTAACACGTGTTACACATCACAGAAACTTGTATTTCCCCAATACACAGGAACATAAGTCTATATTTGATTAACATAAAAAGACCCTTACCAGAAAGTGAGTAATCTGTATTAGTCATCCTCATGGCTGGAGTGTAAGATACACTTGGCATGTCATGGCCCTTCTCCTTCTGTTTCCGTCGATACCACACAAACAGTGCCAGCAAGACCATAATAATTAGAAGGAGAATAATAATTCCAATGATTGCTCCCACTGAGTGCCTCTCTGATCCAAGAGCAGGGCTAATTTTAGTATAGGGGTTTAATTCTTCCATCATAAGAGCCGCTGTTAAAAGTAATTCATAACACACTGTAAATTGAATCGTGCATTTCATTTTTGAAATACTGTTTCTTTTTTTTTAAAGCAAATACATCACTGGAGAGGGGGAGAGAGAGAAAGAGAGAGGGGTTTTACAGACAGAATCCCACTGTACCTTGATCACACCGGATTCCTTTGAAGCCTGGGCTGCAGTAGCAGGTCCCCGTGACATGGTCACATGTAGCATTATTCATGCACTCACAAAGTTGTTTGCAACCATAACCAAACGTTCCTGGTGAGCACTCTGGGAAGCCAAGGAAAAACATTGGAAAGAATTCCTGCTGTTTTCAGGAATGGGTGCAATGGAAAATTCAGTAGAAAAGTCTCTCTGGTTTCAGGGTCTCCAGGATAACACTCTAATGCGAGATGATTATTATTATTTTAAAGCGGAAGATAAATGTATTTCATGCACAATTTATTACTTATTAAGCTGTAACTTTCTGGAAAAGTCTTACAAGACTTCCCAAAGACGAAATCAATAATAGGTACAAAGGATTTAAAAGTCTTGATATACATTATAAATGTTCAGAATTTGGCAGAGCATGAGCTCAGAAGCTTTAGACAACACCTTGAAAGAGCTTAGCATTCTCCACCACCCTACTGATTTTTTTTTTCATGGGGCAGTTGCAAAGAAAAGTTTTAATGAACATTTATATGAACCCAATACAGTTTTACCAAACAAATCCCACATGCTTTCCTAGTCATCCCTACTAGTGCCAGCAGGTGAACAGAACATTGTAGGTGGAATTGCAGAATTGAGCACCTGAATGGTTTGATTTGCTCTGCTTCTGTACCAGGACTCCTGATACAGAAGGAATTTTTGTCCTGTCTTTGTATTTCTATCAAAGACGAAATGATTGAATGTCCAGCTGAGAAATTTATTCATACAATTACCATGATGGGCTATTACAATAAATCTGTAGGCAGCTGACTTTACTTCTGGAGGAACTATTCAATAATAAATTGAAAGAAACAATGTCTGTCACATCCCACTTATTTCCATGGAGAAGAAGCATTACTGAAAGCATTCACACTTGTTATGATACTATAGAAAATATCTTGTTTAATGTGTGACTCTCTGTGTGTCCCTGCAAATGTTTTGCATAGCATGAGACACCTCCCCAGTGTCAGTCTCTAAGTAGCTTCTAGTAGCCAAAATTTAATATTTAGTAAAGAACTCTAGCCAGTATCTGTGTAATGATTTGCAGTGTGTATTAAAGTTGTATCTCTTTCTTTAATCTGCTGGTCCTCAAATAAGGAAAAAAAAATTTACAATTAATGCTCATTCTGATAGTAACCTGTAACCTACTTGTAATGAATAAAGCCTAAATTTTGGGACTGCACCACAGAAATGATGCCTGCAATTAGGCATTTCATCTGCAATGCAGTGTGACTGCCCATTCAGCAGGATCTGGAGAAGGAAGGAGCCTTAATGAAGAGATTCTTTTAGATTAAACAGTAGAAAAACAGATAAATAAATACATTTGTATTTTGGATAGAAAAGAAAGCCTCAGGCTTTGTACAGAGGTTGAATTAAAAAGTAGCTTCTTGTATAAAATCTGCTAATGTGCAGTTCTACTGTGGGACTTTTTAGTTTCCTGTTTTGATGATGGTTGCAGTAGGGCTGTACCCAAATTCACAGTAAGTTGGCCACTTCCAGAGTTACAGAGGTGCCATACATAATCCCCCATGAGCACACACATTTGGTCCCGAGATATTCACTTTGCTGAATGCAAGTGTGTGCAAAAAGATGTTTTTGAATTAAGTTACATGTACAAACACTTCCATAAAGATCCATGCAGTGAGCTCCAGTTAAAGCTTTCCCTTGCAAATCCAGCAGGAATGTTCCTGCATTACCTTACTGCCAAAAAAAAAGGAAGGGAACCCTGTGGAATTAATGCCTGGGTAAGGTGAGATGGATTTTATGTTGCATTTAGAATATGAGGAAGTGTGTGAGAATTTTCTTGTGATTTACTATACTGGACAAACAAGTCATTATTCAGCTACAGCACATCCAGTCTGCACTACCCTCATTCTGTGTTCTTTAAAGAAGCCATTTGGCACAGGCTGCTAAATATGCCAGCGGGACATGGACAACAATTCCAGTAAAACATGCCAGGTCCCTTGGAAGGTAATTGGAGTTCATTGTTAAACACTTGCTCACTGCTCTAACTAAACACAGATCCTTCCCGAAATGGCAAACAACTTTGCTTTCCCTGTAAAGATGAATCTTTATTTGCTCCACATCTATAGCATCACAACTTATGCAGGAAAGCCCCAATATTCCTTGGAAGGCAGAGAGCAGAAAGGATTTATTCCTTTTAACCCTTCTGTCTTCCTTCATGCTTAAGGAAACCTGATGCTCTCAACAGCATTAGCAAGGCACGATGCAGCTTTTGGGCTATTTTTCTACTAATTAGGTACAAGCTTTTTGGGAAGGCTGCATCCAGTCAGCACTGAGTGCAGTGACTTGCTTTCCCTCACCTAACTTTAGCCTGGGAACGAAAAGGCCCAACTGGCAGAGGAGTCACTGTATTTCTTTATGCTTAGACTGCCCAGTTTTCCACAGGCACCTTCTCCTCCCTATGGATTACATAAGGTGCCTGGGGCTGACATCAACACTTCATTTAAGAGCCTATTTGTGCAGAGAATTCTGAAACACTCCCCCCCTCCCTGGAGAAACAGAAACCCGAGGTCACGCTGGTACTTACTCTGCTCGCACTGTTTGCCTGTAAATCCAGTCCTGCACGTGCACTGCCCGGTGATGTGGTCACAGTCAGCTCCGTTCTGACACTGGCACACGTTGGCACAGTTCTTTCCATAAAAAGCAGCTGGGCAACCTTTCAGGAATCAGAAGAAGGAAGGACTAAGAAATGAGTTGAAAGCCAAACTCAGATGCGTTATCAGCACAAAACATGTAGGCCTATAAATCTATGGATTTTCAGCCTGTGTGTATTTAATAACATTTATTTGATGGTCTAAATGCAGAAATACTATGACAGCCAATTTTCTTGAAGTAATGTTTCTCATCTCTTACAGAATTGCCTCTGAAGTGTTCCAGAGGAATGAAAACTTGACCCATCTATACAAACCACATTTTCAAGAGGTGAAAGAAGATGCTAAACAGAAACTCTCTGAAAGACCAGAGATCAATCAATTACTTGCAAGTGAAAGGGTCCTCTTAAAAGGCTCAGCAGAATTGGATCTCCTCTTGTACGGTGCTGGTAATTTGGCACTAGGAAGAGAAATCCTAAATCAGGCCACATGTACTGGGGCCTTAACAAGCAGGGACATCGACTGTGGAAATCTTGACAATGAATCAATAATCTAAATTATTTGCCCTTCCTTTAAAGGCACAAAAAAGCATGGAAAGCTTCAGGAGTGTTTTCTTTGGGGTGATGTGAGGTTATCCCGAGTAAGAAGCAGGTGGATTTCGAGGGAAGGCTGCAATACTTGGGAGAGACACGAGGTAGCAGCACATACTTTGACAGATTCCCTGTCCCTGGAAGGCTTACGCTGAGTGCAGAAGAGCCCCGTCCAGCCGTGGGTACATCGACACTCTCCATCGTAGGGGCTGCACAGTGCTCCGTTGTGGCAGTTGCAGGAATGAAAGCAGTCAGGGCCCCAAAACCCACTGGGACAGGCTATGGAAACAAAAAACATTTGTCGGCTGACAAAAAAAAAAGAGCAGTGATACTGTGTCAGTGCTGAGGAGGAGCAAGGACAAAGGGAGAACCTGCGAGACACCAGCGAGGGCAGAACCTCACACGGCAGAGCTGCAGTGACTCCCGGACAGAGACTGGCTCTTCCCAGACAGGGACTGGCTCTTCCCAGACAGGGACTGGCTCTTCCCAGCCAGAAATTGCTCTGCAAACCCTGGAGCCAACCTGTGGCTTCTCCCCTGCTGTCAAGCCCTGGCACAGGGATTTCTCCCAGCAGGTCAAGGGGGGGATTCTGCCCCTCTGCTCTGCAAAGGTGAGACCCCACAGGCAGAGCTGCCTCCAGCCCTGAGATCCCCAACATCAGAAGGATGTGGAGCTGCTGGAGTGAGTCCAGAGGAGGCCATGGAGATGCTCCAAGGGTTGGAGTCCCTCTTCTCTGGGGACAGGCTGTGAGAGATGGGGGGGTTCATCTGGAGAAGGAAAGACTCCAGGGAGATCTTAGAGCCCCTTCCAGTGCCTAAAAGGGGCTCCAGGAGAGCTGGAGAGGGACTTGGGACAAGGACCTTTGGTGTCAGGACCAGGGGGAATGGCTTCCCACTGCCAGAGGGCAGGGTTAGATGGGATATTGGGAAGGAATTCTTCCCTGTGAGGGTGGGGAGGCCCTGGCACAGGTTGCCCACAGAAGGTGTGGATGCCCCTGGATCCCTGGAAGTGTCCAAGGCCAGGTTGGATGGGGCTTGGAGCAACCTGGGACAGTGGAAGCTGTCCCTGCCTGGACTGGATGAGCTTTAAGGTCCCTTCCAAGCCAGACCTTCCTGGGATTCCATGATTCCCCAGGTGGGTCATATGGAGAGATCAGCTCTGCACTGAGAACCACAGAACCAGCGACCCTCGACACCACGTCCCCCTGTGTGCTCTGGGCACTCCCCCTGCCTGGCATTATCTGTGAAGACAATTTAGACTTGGGGTTGTAAAATACGGAGGTAATTTAATTTTCTTCTTGACATTCTGGAATTCTTGCATAATAAAGCCCAGCTATTCAGGTTTACTTTGCTATGCAATCAACCACTAAAATTACCACATTCAGTTGAGGCACCGAGTGCTGCTCCAATTACGTAAAAAATGTAAAGAAAACTTCTTCCAATATGAACTCCCATCCACAAATTCAGATTGCTTTTGTTGATGGGACCAATATTAAATTAAAATCTCTGGGTCTATTTTATATTTCAACAAGTACAATGTTAATATATATTTTAAAAAGTTATTTTAAGCCTCCCTCCAAAAAAATGAATGCAGTAAGTTACAGTTATTAGTGCCAGACTAAGAGATCCAAAATGATGATAGCCCTTCAATATAACAACTATATTTTTGCTTTAAAAAGCACTTTCCATGGTTTGCTATTAAAGACATGAATTAATAAGGCACAGTTCCCAGGAAACCTGAAAGTACAGAAACCATGCCTACTTCCATGGATGCCAGTGGCTCCTGCTCAGACGATAAATGCAAGTTTTTGGCACATGACAGACACCCCTAAAGCCAGAATGAGCAGCCAAAAAAACCTGCCATGACGTTAATCAAACAAAAGGTCACTGAACTCACACAATGTAAAGCTGACCAGGACTTGGCCTAAAGTATTTGTGCTATAAGCAACCAGAAATAGAATCACAGAATGTGCTGAGTTGGAAGGGAGCCATCGGGATCATCGAGTGCCGCTCCTGGCCCTGCACAGGACACCCCAAAATCCCACCAGGAGCCTCACAGACAGGCTTGGTGCTGTGACTGCTGCCCTGGGGAGCCTGCTCCAGTTTTCCTTTGTAAGGTAGAGCTGCAGGGTCTGTCAGAGAATCCAGAACTGGCTCTGGAGTCAGAGCTAAAACTCTCTCCTGTGCAGCTCCGACTGCGGGTCATTCCAGGTTAATGGTCTGATGGAGACAGCTCGGGAGGTGAGGCCAGGTGCCCACGGGAGCCTGGTGTGGGCCAGGATCACCTTGGGAGAGCTACACCCTCTTTACAAGGAGGTGACTGAGGAGATAGCCACGTTCCCCCTTGGCTCATACCAGCTACAACCAGGTCCTTCTGCTTTCTGGGCTGGCAATGGTCGCCCTCCAAGAAAAACCATCTTTTGTCAAGGTTAACAGAAACTAACAGTCATTTCCCAATTACATGGCTAAATATAATGAGGAATCTGAGCAGCTTTCTTTTTTTCTTCCCCCCCCCCCCCATTTTTGAGTGACAGCAATATTCTGCCTGTGGAAGACACACAATAAAAGCAAAATTACAGCCGTCTGTTTTTATCCGATTCCTGCTTTATCACTTGAAGTTTAATATATTTTACTCTGGAATGCTGTCTAATATGCTAGTTGTATCCTGAATATGAAGTAACATTTCTGAATGATCGGATATTGCCTCCCTCTGTGATCCAGCTTCAATTAAGGGATGCTCTCAGGAAATGACACTTTGGGATCAGCAAATGCCAATCTTCTACCTGGGCAATTTTCAAGAAGAAATCCTCCATCCCTCCAAGCCCACGTTGACTTTTACAATTAAATTACATTTAATAGAAATATTTCAGCCGCCTAATTTCTCAGTTCTGGGGGGTTGGTACATGAAAACATTTACTGGTTAATAAATTCTAAATGTAACAGCTGAAAGAAAATGATTTCAAAAAAATAAATAAAAGGGAATACAGCTAGAAATTAAAAGGGAGCACGGAGCTTTCTTTTCTGATAAGAGCTTGTGACCTCCCTTTCCTGGAATAAAAGCCAGTCACTGCTTCTGCAAACTCCAAATGCAGAAACTAATTCAATCCAGAGCTAACTTAGATTAATTAAGAGAAATAAGCCATAAAGAGACTAAGGCAGTGGCTGTAAAACCTCAGGGATTTCCCCAGAACCTGTCTCTAACTTTCAGAAGACACTAAGCAAACACAAAAACATGTCATTTTGAAGCAGAGGTGGGAGGACAACACTTTGCTTACTCTGAGAGCAGTCCATGCCTATCCAGCCTGGGAAGCACTGGCAGGATCCGTCGATGGGATTGCACGTCCCGTTCTCGGTGCACTGACACACCTCGGCACAGTCCTTCCCGTATTTCCCACTGGGACACACTGGAAACACAAGGCAGGTTACTGAGGGCTCTCCAGAATGGACATGAAGAAGTCACAGTTTAACATTCAGCAATTAGAGACAAAATGAATCGCAACGTTTTTCTTCGATGAAGCCGAACGGGCAACGACCTTCTGGAAAGAAGGCAAAGGCAGAAAGTATTTGAGTTCTATTTTTTTTTTTTTTTTGCTCACATCCCAATCATAAAAACAATAGGAAAAAGTGATCTCAAAATCCATTTTTCTGCTGGGAAATGAAGCCAATATAGTTAGAAGATTCCAAAGATTGAAGGGCAGTATGGAAGGATGAGAAGAGGAGAGACAAAGACAGAAAAGGGGTTATTGGCAGAGGAAGAGAACAGGGAAGTTGAGGAGAATTCAATGAGCAGCAGCCACCACGAGTGAGTGGCTGGAAGGGATTGATCCGGACACTTGGAAAGGGGAAGCAATTAAGTTGCAAATGTGGTTCCCAAGGATTATATGTATGTTTGACTGAGAGCTGTTAAATAGATGCACTGCATCCAAAAAAATCAGCACCTATCCCTGTGTGCCCACCTGGCTTAGTTCTGAAGTTGGAAGGAAAGAAACTCTAAATTTATTTTTCTAGAGTCATCCTCTAAGAGCCCAAGCACAGTGACAGAAAACTAATAGACATGTAGATCTTCAACCTCCCACCAAATTATTGGAAATCTTTAACGTTAAAGTTGATGGAAAGCTCTGCTCAGTAACGAATGAAATGTTTCATTTCTGGGCTCTTATTGGCTGTGTTCCCTGACAAAAACAGATGTATTTTCAAAATAAGATAAAACATACAGTCCATCTTTGCAAAGAGTGTAACAAATGGAACTGGACTTGTATCCTGGTAAATAATAGCGATGTCAAAAAAGTGATTAAGGCACTTTCCTGAATTATGCAGCTGTTTTACCACTTCAGCCTCTCTCACTTTCTCAAAAGTAGTCTCTGCAGGTGACCTCAATCTATCCTGACTGTGAATCAGCCACAGATTGAAATCCTGAGCTGTGATTCATTGGGTTTTATATAATATGCCATCCTCTACTCTTACTACAGCAGAAAGCTAAGAATGTGCAGAGTATTGTTTTCTGTATTTCTATATACTGTGGACTTATCTGTAGGAGTGGATAAAGTTGGGTTTGGCTTTCAAATTATGTGCTAAACAGAACAGCTCCTAACTGGAAAGAGATAAAACTAAACCCAATATACAGCCACAGTGAAAAGAACAATACACAGACACAAAGAGAGAAGGAAAGCAAAGCCCTCAAATCACAGGCAGAGCAAAAACTGAAATGATCTGTCAGCCCAGGCTCTTGCAGAGGCCACACCATCAGTCACTTCCAATGCTCCATATCCAGCAGCTCCATGCACTATTTATGGCATCTTTAAGATGGAGATAGATAACATCACCTCAATGATTTTTTATAGGTACAAAAAAAGTAGTTCTCTAAAGACTTCCTCAGAATAGGAGCTGATTTGTACTGCAACATGGAATGCTAATGGATCAGGACGAGATTTGTGATCCAAACAGAGCTGCTGGCAAAGGCACCAGGTCACACCTCACAAAAGCGCTGCTCTGGTGCACACAGGGAGAGCTGTTCCTTCCCCAGGAGCACCTCCTGTCTCTGGGAAATGGGACGATGCCCTCTGGAATGTCAACACAGACGGACGACCAAATGGTTGTTCCCCTTAATTGAAACAACCTGGTTGTGGATTGACACGTCAGCTCTCTTGTGAGGATGTGAGATCCAAACACGAGCCCTTTTTAAATGTCTCAACCAGTTTTAAACAGAGCTGTAAAGCAAGGCCTGGTGCTGCTTTCCTCGGGAGCAATCTGATTGTACAACCCAGATAGTGATGTTAATTAGCCATAAAAGCTCTGAAGTGGGACTCCCAAAGTCCCTGTGGGATGTCAGGTGTGTTCCAGCAGCGATAACAGGTTATTATCAATCCATCTTGCTACATGATTGTGAAAGATATTCATAAAACAGCTGTTTAGTCATTTGTAGCTCGGAATCCTGTGCAATTCTGGGGGGTTACACAGCTCCTCACAAGCATGTGCTGCTAGTGGAAGAATGTTCCTGCTGCCAGAAAGGAGATGGCACAAGGAGATGAAAATTCCAAAGTGAAATCTTCGTTTCACATTTTTTTAATGGAAAACATTAATTAACATTTTTCTTTCTACAAAATAAAGTTACATGTTAACTCATTATGACAAACTGCAACACAAATTGATTTTAATTAGGACATGAATATTTTAAAATTAATTTACTGGATAGATCAACATTTCAAAGTAAAACCAGAAGTGCTGAACATCTGAGCAAAAATAAAATAGTTTTCTTAAGAGGATAATTAGACCTGCTTATGCTTTGAAATCTGGCTAACGTTTCACATAAAATGGACAAATTCACTGAAATATGTTCATTTTAATAAATTAATTGGTATAATATTTAGTTGACTATACAGCACAGGAAATACAGTACATACTTACTCTATGTTTAATGATTTTGTATAAGTGCTGCCTGCAATTCCCAACTTACTGACAAGCAGGTCATTAAAAAGTGTCACTTGATTTTTGCAGGGATGGTGACTTCACAAAGGGCAGTCACTTCTTTTAAATACCTGTGCAGGAAACACCCTCAGCAGGATGCAACCACTGAGACTGCAGAATACTGAATGCTTTTGGGGGTATTTTTAGGATAAAACTGAAAACCGAACACAGTTAAAAATGGAGTAACTTCCAAAGGAACAGAAAGGGGATGGGGATGTGGGGGAGCTGAAGCTGCTCTTCACCTGTGAAAATTAACTCACTTTCTCTGCCTCATTGCAAACTTTTCTGTCTCCTGCACTCGTGTCCATGACTTCAGCTGTTCCCAACCAGGTCCTACACAGTGCAAATGAGGTGTAAACAGTAACTGGCTGTTTGGCCTTGTGCACCTGAGCTGGCCTTGCCCTTAACCAGAACCCCCAGGTCCTGCTGCAAAAGATCCCATGAAGGTGCCATCAACATGCAGGGGAGGAGAGGCTGAGCAGAAAGAAAAATAACCCCATTGGATGCTGATGTATTTACAGCAGGTGTCTCATTCCATAGTCAGTTCAATCCAGCACTGCAGACCTGGATTTATGAAACCAGGAGCACATCATATTTACAAAAGGGTGACTAAGTACCTATTTGCATTTCCCCTCTGAAGTAAAGAATTTCTTTGAATCTAAACTGCTGAAACAAGGGAAAAAGGCAGGAACCTTGTGATGGGCCTTGCTGCAAAGTCACAGACACTTGGGAAAGGAGGTGGAATTTGGGGGTTTGGGGCTCAGTACCTTGGTTGCAGAGAGGGCCAAAGAATCCAGGCAGGCAGTCGCAGTGTCCCGACACGTGGTGACAAGGACCATTGCTGTGCACACACTGGGGGCAGGGCTGGCCACAGTGGTGTCCATAAAAACCAGGGGGGCAAACTGGAAACAAAACAAAATCAGCTGTCACGGGTTTTCCGAAGTGTTCTCATTGCTGAGAGCTCGACAGTTCTCTGTCTTAATCCCAAACCATTATTTCTTTATTTATAAAAACACGGTTTTGTGGACAGCTGCAAGGATGAAGCCTGTGGGATTGTTCCATGTCTAATGAAGGGCAAACTCTGAGGAAAACTGCTCCTGTGCTCAAACATTCCCACCTTCCAACCTCATGTAAGTCCCTGGCTATTCAATAACACAGTGGAGTTCTCAGCAGCCTCCCCCTCTCAGGGAATTCATTTGAGTCTCTCTAACCTGCTCCAGATAAACTCTTCAACAAAACACGGGAGTTTAAGATGTTTGAGACCTCAGAGCCTACTGCAGATATGGATAATAACACATTCCAAAGCTTTTAAGATAGGAAGAGGAACACACACATGTAGAGACAACAGAAACTCAGAATATCATTTCCTTTGGAAACTGAGCTGAGAATTCAGAGAAGGTGTATTAGGAGACAATATTTTATGTCTAAACAACTATGCCAAAAGCTGATTTCCAAACCTATGAGGTGTGATACCTGTGCTCACCTGGGGCAGACAGTTTATATATGTCATGGCAGGAGCTGCAGCCATCAGTGATGAACAGAATGTAAAGATGGTAATTATGGTAACAGTATATAAAATCATCTGATTTGCATCAGTAATGACACAGGATAGCTGAGGAAACTTGTCATGAACTGTGTGCTTAATTTGCCTAAAACCTGAGATTATTACAGAATTTGTACACAGGGTAGAGAGCCAAGATTACGGCTCAGTATCTCTTCTAAACACAGATTGTTGCTTCTAAGCACATGTAGGGTGAAAAACCATCCGCTGTCCAAACATTCACTGCAACAGATAACACAAAGAAATGTTAAATTGCAGTAAGTGACTGTAAAAAAATGACTTTATGTGTTTTTATTTTTACTCCTGTGACTCTCTGTTCTACAGTTCCAGCTCAGTGGTTACTTTATCACGTCCGTTCTATTTTTCCACCAAATGAGAATTTTCTCTTGGTCTCTATGTTCACAGAGGGTGTCAGGCTCTTACACCACTGCACATTTCCAGCTGGAACTTAGCTGACAGGTTTGTTGATATATATACCAACTATAAAACACCCTGGATCATTGCTGGAGACATTTCTGCAGGCTTAAGAGCACTAAACCATCCCGGTGTCTCATGTAATCCTGATTACACCGACAGAACAAGTTGGCTGAGAATCATCTTCAGTATCATCTTCAGTGCTGCCTGCACAGGCTAAATTCTGTTTCTAAATGAATTTCCAAGAGAAAAATGTGGATGGTTTTGAGAGCAAGCTTAGCAACCTAAAACCACCCTCACCCACAGAGGTGTCCTCCTCACCAGGTAGGCTTGAGCCTGAATCCCACAGAAGAGATGGAAGCAAGCTGAATTCCCATGCCACGTGCTCACAGAGGCATTTCAGCAACACGAAGCAATAGCAGAAGCATTCATAGGAAGAAAATTTCTCCCCATTAGATCCCTAGGAAATGTCCTCGGGGAGCAGCCTGATTACTGGGCTTGCAAACTGGGAACAAGGTTTGCCTCTTATAGCCTATGTGCCATCAGCTGATAAAACTAAGCTGTTTTTTTTCATCTCAGAAAGGTCAGAAACTATTAACTTCTGGAAGTTTTGCACTCTTAAGGTTTCAAATTCGTGAAACATTTCCTTCCCCAATTCCCCGAAGCTCTGAGCGCCACATTTTAGCCTTGGAGAGAGGTTTTACAGCTACATAGATATGCTGAAGCACCTGGAAATTGGGGTTTATAATGGAAATGCTTATAGGCCATTAACTACAGCAGTGCTAGAGGTCATCGTTATAATGGCTTTAAATAAAAACTGTCAGCTACAAATTATTTTTAGAGATGAGTGTGTTCTAGTGTCGAGTGTAACTGGTCAAATCAAAGGGCCTGTATGAACTGGGAATGCAGAATGTCTTACAGGAAGAAGAAGAAGAAGAAGAGCTGCTGCAGAAAAAAAAGACAAATCCACTTCTTGTTTACACAGGAAGATGGTTGTGGATCAGTGAATTAGGGTCCCTAAGGGGCAAATGCAGCTTCTCAGATAAAGCAAATGAGAGGGGTTTTATCTGCTTGGCACATTTTAATATGTAGCAGCAGAGCATCAGACAGGAGTTATTTCAGGCTGCTGTGTTTCTTTTTCTGGCATATAAGAAAACATAGACTTGTTATTTTGATGCCAAGGCTCATCCACTTGTCATTATGTGATGGGTCATAGCTGACTCTGTTTAAAAGGTCTCCTGTAGGTCTCCTGACTTCACTGCAGATCTGTGTCCTGCCAGGTTTGGTATGAAAAGGTGCTGCTCCTTCCAGGTTACCTGTGACTTCCAGGTGCAGCAGACCAGAAGAAACACAAGGCACGACTCCATGCAGTGGAGTCTTGACTTCCTGATCCAGCAGCACTTTTTAGGCTGTGCTTTGCCCTTAGGGAGCTAAAGCAGCTCAGAAACTGTGGGTTTGTCTGACTGGTGTCACAAAGGAGCATTTCCACCTGCTTTGCTCCAGCCAGGAATGGAAAATCTTACTTCTCTGGCACAAGGGTCCCCTGTATCCCGGGGCGCAGTCGCAGGTGCCATCCTCTGGGGAGCAGGATCCCCCGTTCTCACAGCTGCACGAGATGGAGCAGTTGGGGCCCCAGCGGCCCTGGGTGCAGATGTTGTCACAGTGGATGCCTAAAGACATAAAGACACACATTAGGTTCCCCACAGCTTACTCCGCTCACTGATCAAAGAAACTTTTGGCTGGACTGATGCCTCGCAGCCCCTCACGGAGCCAACGAGGGAGCCTGGGAAGGAAACAGCTCTCCTTTTATCTGCTTAATAAAGTGAAAATTAAGAAAACGCCAGAGAGGTGAGTTCTGCAGGTGTTAGTGGGCTCCTGTTCAGTCCTCAGCACCATTAAAGAAACTCTGCATGTCATCTGAGAGATGAAGGTCAGGAATTGCTTTAAAGTCACAAAATAGCTCAAATAACTGGTCTGGAAATAGGCAGTTGATTGAAGTCTGATTACTTACCTGTTGTGAATTGGAAGACCTAAAAAAGAAAAATCAGGGCTCTGAAAAACATGTTGAAGTGTTTGGATTCTTGAACACAAGTAAATTCAGCTCTGTGCTGTGTTCTGTTCTCTTCCTTGCTTAAGGCAGTGTGCTCTGGGGTTTTGTGCACAGACCCCACATCCACCCAGAGCTCTCCAGCTCTGTGATAATGAACTAAGTTCTGATCTAGCAAGTGGCCATATGTGAGCACAGGCTGATCATCTGCATGTTAAATGGAGACTGAGACCTGCCAATCCAGCTCCAGTCGTTCCCAGGGTGGTTGTTTGATATTTATTATCACGAAAAGCAAAGCTTGGAAACACCAAAAAAAAAGCACAGGGCCAACAAACTTAACATGAGGCTTCTAGCATGGTTTCAACTGGTTTTGTTTTAACTGGTGGCTTTTAAAAAACAACCTGGTGCCACGGTTTGTCACATATAAACGTGATCTAAGGATCTGGTGTCGGAGAGGCTCGTGCTCCACTGGGAGAAGGCAGTACCAGCACCTGCAATTAGCAGAGCTATTTGCATGATCAAGGGCTCCTTGGATGGAAAACCATTTGCAGGATCACGAACTAAGAGGGTCATTAAGCAGTGCCAGCTGCAGGGAGTGGCACTGGCAGGGGAGACTGATAACACCAGGAAAAATGAATCACAGACCGGCTTGGAAAATTTTCCTGCCGACGCCACCACAGCGGGCTCCTCCCGGCTGACCTGGCGGGGCCCACTCGCCTCAGCTGGGCTTTCAACAGCAAGATGTTCTTTATCATCCATGCACATGGCCCTGCTGCATAATGGGATAAAAGCGTCCTGGAGCCCCCGCCGCGGCCAGGGGTTGGATTAGTGCATCTCCACCGAGGAACACAATCCCAAGTAATTTCCTGCACCTCTGATAACTTCATCTGGATGCCACAGGTAACGCACTGCAGTTGGGAGGCTGTGATCTGAACAGCCACCCAACTTGGAGGATTATTAAATCAGCTAAAAGTCATTATAAATACACTTACGGTGCAGCTTCAAGTTGGTTTTATAAATCTCTGAAGTTAATACAGTAAGAAATACTGCAGAGCCAAAATTTCCCTTTTCTGAAGATTAATCACACAATTATAATGTCCCTTCCTAGAAAATCTTAACCAAGTCTGGCAAAAGTACAGTTTGAAATGTGGTTTCTAGTAATACATGATCATAGCTTTATTTATAAAGAGGCAGGGTCCATGCTGTAGAGCTTAATAAAAACCACATTAAAATACAGTAAAAACTTAATACAAGCTCAATTCCTTCCTATCTAAGTAAATAAATCTGAAAAAGGGGAGTGCAAAAAGAGACAAGGAACATTTGTATTAGTAAAATCAAGAAAAACAATTATTTTAAACAGTCTTCCCTGCTCAGTTTGAAATCAAATATATCCTTGGATTACTTAAACAACAAATGCTTTGTGTGTGCATTTATGTAATATATCTACAGTGCTCTGTAATTAAAAAGTCAGACAATAAATTGTAAATAAATAAATGCATTTTGTATTTATAAATACACATATATGATCATTTATAGCTTTGAGTGTCTCAGCGTGAGCTCCCAGCAATGAAATTCAGGCACAAATGTAGAAAAATCTGTATTTTTCCTCCTGACTGCAGCCCTAAAATTACAATTCTGTCACTGTGAATGGGCTATTTATAAACTGGGACAATTAAACAGCATTATTTCTTGTCTCTTTTTGACAAAGTTTGGGGAAGAATGACACTGGCTCCTTTCTCATGGAAGGAACTTGAATTAAAATGCCAGGGCTGTTCCGTGCAGCAGCAAAGTCCTTCCTTTAGTAATGAGTAATGAGGGATGTCTTCCCACTCCTAACGAAGGGAATGAGTCATTGTGGAGCTGATTGTTGTAAGGAAATGTAAAGGGAGAAAAGGAAACCTTCTAGAAGCCACTGACACCCATTACAGCACTTATTTATTTATACATCTCCAGAAGACAACCAAGATGGGGCTGCAATCAGTTTTTATCACTTTATATTGCTCCAAGGTAATTCTCATGGAAGATTTTCTTTTTGGAGGCTCCCCCACAAACTGAATTGCAAATGTAAATGAGAAGTTAAAACTGCACCTGGACATGCATGTCTTATGGAACTGTGCTAGGAGCAGCACCTTAATTTCACAATTCCCTACCCTGGGGGTGCATGAAGGGGAAGTCCATCCCTCCAAGCTACTTTACAGTCAGAATCAGTGGAGCAGGAACCTTCTGTAATGTAAAACTTCAATATTTACTTTGGGCCTTGCTGATGAACATTTCTGATAAGCAATTAGTTTTCAATTTCCAGAACTACAAAAACTGCTGAAGTTGACACACCTCTGTATTATCTCACCTTACAACCATAGGTTCCTAATTTATGAACAAAATCCTGGTTTCACAAGCAATGATACAGAAATTAGAAAGACAACCATCAGAAGAAGAAGTCCTTGAAGCTGCAGGAAGCAGTTCTATACATAAACTCCATTGCCTGGATACCAGGGAATTATCTTCCAGCCTGAGGCTGTGGTTCACAATTGCAGACACTGGTATAAAATTACACTTCCAAGACCTCCTTAAACAATGTTCTGGGGGTGAACTGTAACTGAAATTCACATAACATATAAAATTGTAGTTATCCACTGGATGTGGGCAAAGGATTTGCACTCTTGCAGTAAGGCAGAGCCCAGGGAAGAGCAGAGTCCACTGTGGCTTTAACTCAGTCTGTGACACAGCAGCCACAAACCCTCCCTGTCCCGGTGTGGATTTGGGGTATTGGATTTCTGCAAACACTGGCTGCTCTCCAGTGGGATTCCCACTGCTGTCCTCTGGCCTGCTCTGTACATGGCATTTAGCTGACAGTCCCAGCAGTGCCTTCACTCCCCCTTCCCCACACCAACCTGCTCTGCACACACAGCAGGAAGGAAAACCAGCCCTAAGGGCCTGAAGTGCTGTGGAAAACACAACCTGGGCTGAGCTGAACCCACCAGAGCAGTCACAACTGCCCTTTTCTCAGGGACAGCTACATGGGACAGCTCTTCCAAGGCCCTTCTCCTTGCAGGAGACACTTTACTACCAGGACAGTTTACCACCAAGTGGCCAAGCAGCTGCTGTCTGGGACACAGGGAGTGTCTGGTGTAATTCCATCCCAGATTTCCCACAGGGGAAGCCAGTGGGTTGTGCAGGAATCTCCCAATGTGGAACTGTAACTGGCATCTTGATAGAGGACAGCAGCAGGGAGAGAGGTAGGGGAGGAAAAGAATTCCAAGATGGTTTGGGTTGGATGGGACCTTAAAGCTCATCTTGTTCCACCCCCTGCCATGGGCAGGGACACCTTCCACTAGCCCAGGTTGCTCCAAGCCCCATCCAACCTGGCCTTGGACACTTCCAGGGATCCAGGGGCAGCCACAGCTTCTCTGGGCAACCTGTGCCAGGGCCTCCTCACCCTCCCAGGGAAGAATTCCTTCCCAATATCCCATCTAATCCTGCCCTCTGGTAGTGGGAAGCCATTCCCTGTGTCCTGTCCCTCCATCCCTTGTCCAAAGTCCTTCTCCAACTCTCTTTGGAGCCCCTTTAGGCCCTGGAAGGGGCTCTCAGGTCTCCCAGAGTCTTCTCTTCTCCAGCTCTCCCAGCCTGGCTCCAGAGCAGAGGGGCTCCAGCCCTTGGATCAACTCAGTGTCTGGCAACAGCACTGGCTGATGGAAACCCATCGGTGACAAATGTTTTATCTCAATAACATAAATCATGTATTACAGCCCAGCTCTGGTGCAGAGTGGCCAGAGAGGGGACTGTCCGGTGCCTTAATGTCACTGGTTTTCGTGGAGCAGCTGCAATTTTTACCAGAAGAAGTCGGTTCTTTGTATTAAAATTTACTGATCAGGCTGGGATGGATTAAGCTAAACATCCATACAACCATCAGGAAAAGGAGCAAGAAAAAGGAAAAAAAAAACCCTCCAGGCCATACAAGTGGGATGTGAGGCACCTATTGAAGATCTCCTTCATAGACTGCTTCCATTAATAATCTTCAGTGCCTTCAAGAAAGTTTGTCAAACTAATGCAGATTTAGTGCTGCCTGTAACTACGTCACACTGAAGGACTTTGGAGGGTGAAATTCCTGAAAGGCAGATATAAGTAAAACTCCCTTTTTCCCCTCTCCAGCTTACTTCTGCCTGGGGATTACGTCTCTGGCTCTTAATAAAGCCTGCCATTGTTTCTGTGCTGTGTCTCTGGATAGTTGGAAACTAATACTCCAAACACAATAGAAGAGCAAAAACGGACGGAATAAATGAGAACCAGTGGCCTATTTTTGACCACTGCTATCCCCCTGACAGTAGCCTCTGCAGCAGTGCCTGTGTGCTGCCCAGCATCTAATTATTTTTCAGGGACGGAGGAATTTGATGAATTATAGGATGTAACTCCCTTCCCCCCATGTACTTTAATTTTACATCTACCAGTGTATGACTGTAATTATTTCTCTGAATAAGATCTTCAGCTTTTTTTTTTCTTTCCCCTCAATAGTCCCAATGTAAAGACAGATGCAACATCAATTAGGAATGACAGGAACGATTTCAGCAGACGTTTGAATCCAACACAAACATTGTGCTCTCCTCCACCTGTCTTTCAACATGACAT